CTGCAGTCGTTAGCACCCACCAATCCGCACTGGGCCCACGTGGTGGGTCATGGCCCAATCTCCCTATTCCATCCATAGGGAAGGCCTGTGCCCCAGCAGTAGGGACATTAATAAGCTGGTGATGATGATATTTATCCCAGCAACATTGCTCGAATAAGACAAATGCAGTAATTTAATTCTAGACAAGTGTAAGATTACTTATTTTTCCTTATTCACCTGATAAGTTAGTTACATTGAAGTGACCATCGAGTTGATTAATTAAGGCTACTGGCAAAATAAATTTAATTTTATTTGCATCTCCAATTGTTTATGTTAATTAACGCAAATGATATTTATTTTAAATAAACACAAAGACATTTGAACAGGCAAATGTTGCTTTTAACACAATGACGTATAAAAAACATCATAGTTTTAACACAAGATAGCTAAACTTTACATAAGTTTTTTTGATAAGTTCTTCAAGATTGTTATAAATTAATATTAAGATTTTTATTGAAAAAAGACACGATTTCGATTTCGCAGTATTGCAGAGTACTGAAATAAAAATGATTTAAAGTCAGTAATGGGAGTAAAAAATTTTGATCTTTCAGATTTTCTTTACCGGGATGATTCAATTCCCGGTAAACGGTGATTCATTCTTTGTTTAGTACGTAAAATTGTGTTGATTATTGTTTTCGACTTCATTGAATAACAAACATTCATCCTTTTAATCGTAGGTATGTAACGTAAGAGTAAGCTCACAATCATGTTAGTGAAATCTCGGATGCACCACTTTGTGTTCGTGTTGTGGCGAAACTCTTATAAATAAACAATTGTTTTTTTAGGGTTCCGTAGCCAAATGGCAAAAAAAGGTAACCCTTATAGATTCGTCATGTCTGTCCGTCTGTCCGTCCGTATGTCACAGCCACTTTTTTCCGAAACTATAAGAACTACACTGTTGAAACTTCGTAAGTAGATATATTCTGTGAACCGCATTAAGATTTACACAAAAAGTAGAAAAAAAAAGAAATTTGGGGGGGGGGGGGGGGGCATACTTAGAACAGAAACTCAAAAAAAATGTTTTCATAAAAACCCATACGTGTGGGATATCTATGAATGATATAGAGGTTTCGAATATCATTTTATTGTTAACTAAATAGTTTGCGCGAGAGACACTTCCAAAGTGGTAAAATGTGTCCCCCCCCCCTGTAACTTCTAAAATAAGAGACTGATAAAACTAAAAAAAAGATATGATTTACATTACTATGCAAACTTCGACCGAAAATTGGTTTGAACGAGATCTAGTAAGTAGTTTTTTTTAATAAGTCAAAAATCACAAATCGCATAAAAAAATACACTACATATAGTTACAACGAACTACAAGAACTTTTATATTAATCATAATCTTTATTGCTTCATGGGTTCTTAAATTTAAAATAAAGATTCACAACATGAGCCCTGCAAGGGCATTGCAAAAAATTTCTTTATTTCTAATAAACATTTACAATTGCAAATATCAAAACATTTTACTTAAAAAATATCTAATATATCTTATAAAGAATATTAAGTTACTTGCTGCTACGGAACCCTTCATGGACGAGTCCGACTCGCACTTGGCCGCTTTTTTTATCTTCTCCCTAATATGAATTTACTTATCGCTAAATGACGTCATCAATATTTTTTAATGCAATACACTTATCGTCAATGAGAGTCATCGACACAAGCTTTTATTGCCTATATGCATGTTATTTAATTAGAGTTATGTATTAGCCGACAGTGAGCACGTGTTTGTGTGATGATTCATATAGATTTATTTATATTTCGATAGTAACTGCTACAGCGCGAGCCATATTGGCAGCGAAACGACGTGAATTTTGTTTAATTTGCAAATTTTTATAAAATTATTGCACATATGTGAGTCTTATGCTGTGGAACATGGTTTAAAATATAATGAGAAAAAGAGTGAATTCATGTTGTTTAAAGCCGACAAGAAAGGTCCGACTATTATACCTCCGATCACTCTAAATGGTATACCGTTGAGCCATGTTTCCCAGTTTAAGTACCTAGGCCACATAGTTACTGAAAATTTATGTGATAATGCAGATATTGAGAGGGAGCGCAGGGCGTTGTCGGTGCGTGGTAACATGTTGGCACGTAGGTTCGCTCGCTGTTCAGCTGAAGTCAAAATTACGCTGTTCAAGATACATACTGCCAGACATTATATACGGGCAGCCTGTGGGCCAGCTTTACACGCGCGGCCTATAATGCTCTGCGTATCTCCTACAATTATGTATTTAGGGCTCTGTTCAAGCTTCCTCGCTACTGCAGTGCCTCAGGCATGTTTGCCGATGCAGGAGTCGACGACTTCTATGCGGTTATTCGCAAAAAAGTTGGCTCATTAGTTAGAAGAGTGAGAGAGAGCACGAACAGCGTCCTGAGGATGGTAGGGGACCGGCTGGACTCCGTGCTGCTGGGCCGGTTCACTGAGCTGCACGTGCTGCGATCACGTGTGTGGTGAATCCGCCCCGCTGTATAGGGCTCCAAGCCAATATTTGTTAAAATTTATTTTATTGTATTGTCTTATTGTTACTAACATAGCATTTAAGTCAATTAACTAACACATCTATGGACTATGTCTGAAAATAAACGATTTTTTTTTTTTTTTTTTTTTTATTTATTTATTAAAAAGAAAATCTTCGGAAAATCTTTTCTCAATTCAACGCATACGCAGTGCACCTATATGATAGTGATGAAATAAATAATACCTAACCATTTAAGGAAACAATGGGTTGATATACTTTTTACATAATTCTGATCATCATCAGCCTATTAATGTCCCCACTGCTGGGGCACAGGTCTTCCCTATGGATGGAATAGGGAGATTGGGCCATGACCCACCACGCGGGCCCTTTGCGGATTGGTGAGTGCTAACGACTGCAGATGCAGCCGGGACCAACGGCTTAACGTGCCTTCCGAAGCACGGAGAAGCTCGAGATAGTAATTTTTGGTCACCCATCCAATGACCGACCACCGCGAAAGTTGCTTAATTTCAACGATCGCAGCCGAACGCGCTAACCACTTGCGCCATCGAGCTCCTTAATACAGCATAATTCTCGAAAACTCGAAATAGCGTGTTAAATATAACAATTATTATTTATATTATTGCAAAAATATTTAAATACACGCTAATGCTAACTTCCTACTCTTTAGTAAGTGCGGGGTAACAAGATTCCTCTTGTTATGAGGTTATCTGAACATAGCCCTCACACAATACAAAGACCTCATATATCTGTATTATAAAACCTCCATTGTTTATCATATCCTAATGCAAAACTATACATATGTTTGTTTGCTTGTTGTAAGGAATCACTATTTTATTTTCTGTGGCAAGTTTTGTTGACACGAGGATAAGGATCTATTAGGTCGCGGAGGCAATCTGATTTGTCCATAAGTACCTACCTATTTACAATATTTAAAGTACTTTTCCTCCAATTGGAAAAGTTTCGGGAATTATCTATTCATTACTCTAGTAGGTATTATAAAATACAAGCCTTACTTTGGGGCGAAGCTTATTTGTTGTGAGTGCTAGAAATTTTCAACGTGTACTTGTTTTTATATTGTCATTATTTCATAAATTATATAACAGAATGATTCGTAAGATATATCAATTCAAAGAAACAATTCGTGGACTAAGACAGTTCTCTATGCGAATCCATAATATAATTTACCTACTTTAATCACGGCGATAATAAATTTATGACATGCGGGAAAAAACAAATTAATATTCAAATCACATACGGGCGGAAAATTATCTCTTTATTTAGTTTTTTTTTCAATAAGGTTAAGGTTTTTTCAATCGAGGCCTTATATTGAGTTGGCTGCCAACGAGTTGACCTTTTAAAATTCATTAATATGAGAAGCCTGTATACAATTGTTACTGTTGGTGTAAAGTAGGAATGATTTTACTTTTAATTTAGAACAACGGGCAAATATGTCATGTTTATGAATGAAAATTCGCTAAACTAATTTCGCAGTGTCGCAGTGAATCCAGTATAACAGTGATATATTAAGCTATTAAGTATAAAAAAATGTTAATAATCCGCAATTTTAACATTAGTAGCTGTTAATAACTTAGATAAATCATTAGTTTCCAATATTTTCTCTAACTTTAATAAGTTTAAATTAGATTACAAAACTAGTAACCTTAAGAAGATCGCAGCCAAATGACACTGCTGCAGAAAGAAAGAAAACAAAGAGAATAACTTAAATAATTGTTGGATCTTCTTGGTATGCATAACGATAAATCAGATCGATCGCTTAGATAATGGGTTACATTTTTTTTTTATGTTATAGGGGGCATACGAGCAGACGGCTCACCTGATGGTAAGTGATCACCGTCGCCCATGGACACTTGCAACACCAGGAGTATCAGAAATGCGATGCCGGCCTTTAAGGAAGGAGTAAACATTAATTTAACATTCACAATCATGAGGAAAATTCACAATCTTTCTGGTAACATCAGAAATGTTCATAGAAATAGAAAAGTATTTTCCTATTCCTGCGAATATTCCTAGTTTTTTCCAATATTCCTGGGAACGGTACATCAATAGCTATCTATTATTAATGTTGATGATGATGTTGATTTGTCTTAAGCACACCTAACCCCTCGTTTACACCAAGGTATAATACATCTGTTTAACTCATTTTTGTTCACATTTATATACATGTATAAAACATGTAGAATACAATACTTGAATCAAACTTGTTAGATAAATAAAATGTGTAAGCAAATAAGTGATTTATGATTGTAAAAATACTATGCAATGTTAACGAAAGGATGTTTCAAACAGTCACAACAACTATTCTACAAGTCTTTGTGTAAACTATCATATGACTTATTTCTTGATGTAAACGAGGGGTAATGGTTATTAATTTGTCTATCCAAGCAGCTAATACGTTGCTGTGACCACATTGTGGTTAGTTTTTAGGACATGTTATTTATTTGAGCAACTCTTTTACAGGAATGACTCGTCTCCTTTCCTCAAAAATGGAGAAAAGCCGCCTATCATCACTACTAAGAGTAAAAAGCAGCCGGATCCGAGTAAGGCCGGTAGGGGGAAGGCTCTTAGGCAGATCGTGGCTGCATTTATAGTAAATCTGGGAACTATTAACACGGGCATGGCCTTCGGGTTCTCGGCAACCGCACTACCTCAGCTGAAGAGCAATACCTCAAGCATACATATCACGGATGACCAGGCCAGTTGGATAGGTTAGTTTCAAATGGTTTTTATATCAAAGACACATTATTTGACGACCTCCGTAGCCGAGTGGTTTGTACGCCGTGATTCAAGGGGTCGCTTACTCGAGAGGTCCCGGGTTCGATACCCGATGGGGGCAGATGTTTGTGTGATGTATACGAGAATTGTACTCTAGTCATGGATGTTTAATATGTATTTCTATATAAATATAACTTATATATGTATCAGTAAAAATGTCTTTTATCCGCTTCTTATGCGTTTACTTTGCGGCTAGGCTAATTGGTGTGAGTGTTGGAAATATTTATTTATTATTCTAACCCGATTTCCAATTTGACAGTACTAATAATGTTTTCGTGATTTAATGAATTCCAATTCTGTTTTATCAAAAGCACTCACAGCATTGTCTTATTTCATAATTATTCTGCTTCAGCTAATTTTTAAGTTAATTTAAGTTTCAATTCTCCTATCAATACTTTCCTCCATTAGCATCCGAACTATTATATCAATTGAGGAGCTGGCGAACAAAACGGTATAATTACATAAAATTAAATTTTACAGGAACTAAAATAAAAATGAATGACATACCTCCAATGAGCTTTTGGCATGGTTTTTATTTTATAGTTATTTTACCACTATTTTAGGCGGGTTAAATTGAAAATTATTTGAGATACAAATCCAACGGGCCCGAAACCTTCGGACTGTTAAAAAAAAGTAGTTTGACCAGATGCATAATTATACCGTTTTATTCACCAGCTCCTCAATTGGTAGCTTTATGCCATCCTTGCTAAGAATACAAAGTAGACTAATTACATTTCCCAATTGTTCGTCTTTTACAGCGAGTTTGAGCGCGGCTGGAACACCCATGGGGTGCATCGTTAGCGGGTACTTGATGGACGCCATCGGCCGCCGTCTGACCCTCATTCTGACCGAGATTCCACTGATTTCGGGCTGGGTCTTGATAGCCTCGGCACAAAACGTTCCTATGTTGTATATCGGTAAGTTTCCGACTAAGTTTTTCGGCACTCACAATTTACGAAACTGAGGCCTGTTTACCAGTTATATGAATATTATCATAATCACAAGTCAAAGTTCACTGGAACAGTATATTTATATCAGAAACAGAAAAGAATACCTTACTGAATGACCTTCTTTGCTTATGACCTATAGAAAAATATAGAAAAACTATTGAAGAAAATATAGTAATTAAGACTCGATGGGAAAATTAACTAAGTTTCACATCGGTTTATAAAATGTGTGTTGTCAATTTTGAAATGAGATATGGGAATTCATGTAAATTTGCAATGAGATGCCTTAAAAAGATTTTGGATGTGACCTCTTTCCTTCAGGTAGACTGCTGATAGGATTCGGATCGGGCATGGTGGGTGCCCCAGCTCGCGTGTACACCGCCGAGGTGTCGCAGCCTCATCTGCGAGGGATGCTGGGAGCGCTGGCTTCCGTTGGAGTGTCCTCTGGAGTCTTGGTTCAAGTAAGTTACAATATAATAAATATATTTAGATTTTATCAGGCGCATTATTAAATTATTTATTTAATTAGGTAAGTATAAGTCGCGGCTCGAAACTCTAGCACTGACAGTTATTGCGAAGAAGTAAAAATTAAGATGGCTTGGGGGGAAACAGAGCTGCGCGGGTGGGTGTGCGTTGCGCCGATTGGCTCTCCAGTCGTACCCATGCGCAGCTATCCCCTCTACGTTTTGTTCAGAGCTAGAGCTACGTGCCGCGATCTGTAAGTTAAGATAATCTGGATACTAAGTAGTTTTCAAGATTTTGTTATTTCAGTGTTTCAAAATAATGTAAACAATATTATGCAATCTGGCGCATTTGTCTAAGTATGTCTATGGAGTTGACAGTCAGAAGTGATAAAAACGTGATATAGGTATACCATATCAGTGTCATGGCGGTGGGATAATTAATGGGATAATACATTTTTAGTAAGGTTTTGGTTTAGATTATGGTTTGAATGTTTCCCGTCCTTCAGGTATTTTGATAATTGGGCTTAGGTCGAGTTTTGTGTTTACTATCGTACCCTGTATGTAAGTTCTTTGAAAAAATGGAAAGACAACTTTTTTTTTGACGACCTCTGGGACCGAATGGTATCTGCGACGGTTTTCAAGGTGTCGCCTACTCGAGAGGTCCCGGGTTCGAATCCCGGTGGGGGCCGATGTTTCTTTGATGAATACCAGCATTTGTCACTCATGAATGTTTAACATGTATTTTCTATATAAATATACTTATATTTATGTATTCTATCCGTTACCCTAGTATCCCATAACTCAAGCCTACAGTGCTTGCTTACTGAATGACCAAGTAGTACATAAAAACCTTAAGTAGTTATTAATACCTTAATTTATGTTGTCTTTAATAGATGGCGTTACATTATTACAACACTCACACCAATTACCCTAGTCCCAAAGTAAGCTATGTAGGCTTGTGTTTATGGGATACTAGGGTAACGGATAGAATATTTATACTGATGCATATATAAATATATTTGTACATTAAATAGAAATACATACATATTAAACATCCATGACTGGAGTACAATACTCGTATTCATCACACAAACAACTGTCCCCACCTTAAGTCGAACCCGGGACCTTTCGAGTAGGCGACACCTTGAAACCCGCCGTTCATACCGCTCAGCCACGGAGGACGTCGTATTTGGTGTGTGTTGGAAATTATAAAAAAAAAACTTTATTATTTCTCTAACAATCCTAATCTCACTAATAATCCAGGGAAACCATATTAATATTATTTACCAAAATATTCACATGAGTGCTGCTGTTACTACCTATGATTCGTCATACATGCGTTTTCGCCATAAAGCTGATCAAATTGTTTCGAGATGATAGACAGATCGTAAAAAGTGAACACACCCACCCTCCTGACGTAAATTGGGCTTACGTACGACTTACGAATTTGCTCCAATTCAACACACATAACCAGTACAGTCGAGCATACGTCTGCGAATACAATTTCATATTTATAGTGTCGTTATTACGTTGCAGTAAGTGCTGCTCGTTAGACAAGTGTAGTCTTCATCATTATCTTCGTCTGTATATTAGACTCTAGAATCTAGAAGGCATGTGATCGTTACGTTTTTGAGCAAACACAAAGTATTTCAATGCCACGCACATGACGTACATTTGATCACTGAATCACTCAGTTTTAGTGGAATTCAGTTACATAATTTACGTAATAATTTCATCGGCTGTATGGGTTACTCTTTACAAACTTTGGATGAGAAGTAGAAATTGATGGAATGACATTGTAGTTTTCGGTCGACGAATCAAGCTCGACAAATCCAAGAAGTGAACATCTGTCTGTATTCTTTCACTACTTGTTGTATGCCAATCAAATCAAATCATGAAATTGTTTTTTTTGTATTATCACTATATGAAAATAACTTTTAAACGCCATGATTTTTAATAACATTTATATTTAGATTGTGAGAGTGGCGTGCAAAACTCTTAAATGAGCGTGAATACGGGAGTAGATCTATACCTCTGTATCGTGCAAATAGACATGTATTTTAATACTTTACGTTTATTATATAATACTATTAAGACTATAAAATTCTACTTTAATTTTTGTTTAAGCATTAAACTGCTTCATTTTTGTAATTATAATTACACTTTAATAAAAAAAATGCGAAAGTCTGACCTAATACTCGTCAAAAATAACAATATTTTGACGGTTAGTAGGTCAGGCTTAAAACCGATACCAATCAACGTCATTACCATAAAAACATACTTCATTGCATATAAAATAGAGCACATAAAATTAATAAAACCGTAAAACTGGAAGTAATCATCAGTTGGTTTCTTGGTTGGTGGTTGGAGGTAGGTATATTGAATGATATCAACATTAGGCTTGGAATATCTCGATAGGTACCTGCGCTCCTTCTCATACCTGCAAAACTCCAAAACGCCATCAACTGAAATTTAAAAACTGTTTCGAAGTCCTTGAAGTTGATGAATAATTTAAGTAAATATAAGTATTCGTACTATGAGATGCATATATTTTAAAATTTACTGCAAAATATATAAAATATGTGTAACTTACATAAACTCTCCAAGCACCCCAACTTATGGAGCAGAAAAGCGAAATGTCAGAACTCAGGAGACGAAATTGAATTCGGGACAACATGGAATGATAATTCTTCCTCTGTTAAGATTCTTCTTAGCAATAGCAACTGCCACGCATTGATAGCGATTACGTATATCAATAAAGAATTTATCAAGCAGCAAAAAAAAGGATCCAAAGTGCTTTTTGATTATTTGTATGAAAACCGGTGTGCTTTATGATAAGTGACAATCGTAGGTGTAATGCAAATTCTACAGGATTAGTTCGGTAACTGTTTCTCCAGAATTTTCATAGAAACTCTTTTATAGAAACCCACATTGTATTTCTTTAGACAAACCCTAACAGACGGATTAATCGTACAAAGAAGAAGTCTCTGTAAAATAATGTTGAGTTCCAAAATGTAATGATGACTAAGAATTCTTTGTCGACAACGACTGATGATAGTCTCACCAATAGTGCTGAAGACGTGTGGCCCTGAGTTGGATCCGGTACTAACTCATTTCTATGGGCTGTTATAATAATAATAATTTATTGCATATCACAAGTGTGTACATGGTATTTGGGATACAAAAAGTTTTATAACATGTGACGCCCTGCAAGGGCATAGCAATTTTATGGTAGCATGCAATGTAAAAAATATTTTTAATTGTAGATTATAGATTAGATTAATTCAAACAAAAAACAATTCACATGTCAAATATTAAATTAAAATTTCATTTCATTAAAATATATTTCGTAAACAATAACTAAAATTTAATTTCATTATTTATTTTGCATAAGCACCTAATGGATGAAAGACTACGTATCAGAAAATCCTAGCTTACGGGACACTTTATCCGAGATATCCTGTAACTGTGTCAGAAATCTAATCTCATCCATCGGCAACGACTCGTGTGATAGGGAGATGTTGTATTTCCAAAAAAATAATAAGAGGTGACCACACGCTGGATGATGCTCGTGGCCCCCCACCAAATGTATTCATGGTACCGAGAAGTCGTTGGATGCTGACAGCTCAGGACTGATCAGCGTAAAGATCTTTGGGGCGACTTATGCTCAGTGAGGATCGTATGAAAAATGATATTTTAAAACTAACTAACACTACCTGAGAGAATATATTTAGGCTTTTCGATTGAAAACAACGTTCTTTCTTAGCATCAACATAAATGGTAAGTACTTAGTAGATCTTACATTCGTCTTAATCTTACATCAATTAGGTAAAAATGAAATCGTTTCGAATCCTCATACCGTACTTACGCCAATTACAATTGAGAACACTACATAACCCGGTCCTTACATCCTAGCAGCGGGCGTCGTAATGCTCAGACGAAGACGAAGATAATGAATGTTTAATTTTTTTTCTTGTAACTTACTTTTAAATATTCCTTACGTTAATACTTAGCAAATTTAGATATTTTTATTATTATAAAGTTGTAACTAAGCTCCAATTTAAATGAAAATAGTATTATTTTAGTTTTTAGTATTTAATACTATTAGAAGAGCGTACATTTGGCACATTTATGTTGGTTTTAATTATATTCCTAAATCGAAAGACAGTAATGAAATGCTCATATTAGATGAAAAAAATCATGAACTTTAAATATATGCACAAAGCGTCAAATTCGTCATGAAAAATGTAGAATTCTGGGACATTAAATTAAATAAAAAAATTAGGACACATTTCTCGTATTTTTTGGCTAAATAATGGCTCATTTTGCAATTAATATTTTTTATAATATTTACCTTACTTTCCTCGATCACACAAATAAATAAATCTTAAATTAAAGCAATTCTGTAGGTTATGGTGAAATTAAAATTTTCATAACATAATAAATGATTTTGTGGCACAACTGCGAAGTCACTCAAATTCAGAAACTCGCGGTTATTGGTACGTTTACCTTAACCGCTAGCTAATGATATTATTTATTCTGATTTACATATTATGTATAAGCTTATCAATGATTTTTATGTCTCTTTCTTATCGATTTTACAGAATTGCATCTTTGCTGCACTTCAAGAAAAAATATTTAGTGTTAGGTATTGAAAACTCTTCAGCTTTTGTTTCTTGACTATATTATTTTAATAAAAAGCCTAGGATAGAACAGAATATGTTTAGAGATGATTTTGATGATAGCGATAGCTATATCGCTTATTTATTTTTCTTACTTTCATTTATAGTTATCGATAAAATCATCTCTAAACATATTCTTTTCTATCCTAGGCTTTTTATTAAAATAATATAAAAAGAAAGTTTCTTAGCGATATAGCTATCGCTAAGAAACTTTCAGTGTAATATGTATTGTGAAACTCAAAGTATAATTAGCCAAACTGACAACTGTCTACACGTTCTACGTCACCAAAAATCGCGACAATACATCATCGAAACTCCACCACCTGGGTTGTTAAAAATAGAACTGTGTTTGAACTCGTGACTTCGTCTGATGATGAAGAATTTCGTTACTGAGCTGTTATCACTGAAACTCTACTGATTAATGATAATTGAAGAGCACCCGATTGTTGATACAGGTGTAAAATTTGAATTATGTTTGCGTTATTCGCAACTTGTTATGCCACTGCTAATTTTCTATGATGAATAGCACAAACAAAACATTAAAATTTATTAAAGCATATGGTACCAATTTTCATGATAAAAGGATTATGTTTCAATATTTGAGTATTTTTAAAAACAAACTTCCGTATTCGTGTTAATTTGGTTTCGACAACCAACATACACCGGAAAGCTAGTAGGTATTAGTTACCGATACTTGGTGATTGTTTAAATGATTTTATAATAATAAATTTAAATAGGCTATCTAGCTAATTATAACTGGTTTCTTTTCAGTCTGGTCCTGGAACGAGTTCTATTTAATGTGGTATAACAATGTCTTTACATATAAACAAATTAACATAAAATTTTATGAAAATGGTATTGCCAGAGTTTCGAAGATAAGTAAACTAAACTTTTTCACCATTGAGCCACTTATTATGCAAAGAATATCTCTAAAATACTTGAGAGGTCGTCCTTATAATGTCATACGAAAATAAATCACGTTCCATAGAGAGTCCCAAAAGAAGAAGGTTAACAATAATAATAATATTCTTTATTGTAATACACCATTCAAGACACACAAGTAAATTAAAACATGATAGACAGAACGTACACAATATAGACGGCCTTATTGCTAGGCAGCAATCTCTTCCAGGCAACCCATAAAAGAAAGATAAATAAATATGAAGGAGAAGAGGAGGGGTGTTATAGAAAAACATAATAATATCAGTGGTAGGAAAACTGATATATCTAAGGAAGGAAAGAGGAAGGATGAAGTAAAAAAATTAACACATAAGTTAGGATAGGAAATAACTCCGAACTTGTTCCCTAAACGAGTTCAGAGTGCGAGCCTTTCGAATAGTTTATGGCAATGAGTTCCATAGACGTACAGAATGAAAACAGAGAAGGAATAGGTAAAGAAATCAGTAGAATGACTTGGAATTTCAAGAGATAGGTTAGAAGAAGATCGCAAAGTGCGCTGTGACGTAGAAGAGAGAAACAAGAAGCATTCTTTTAAGTAATGAGGAGAAGTGGGTAAGAGAAGTACGGAGTGAAGAAGTGTAAGAGTGTGTAAGTCCCTGCGCCGGCGAATGGGTAGCCAGTTAAGTTTAGAACGGAAGTGTAGGACGTGGTCATATTTACGAAGGTTAAAATAAAAATAAATCGGAATTGTTAGTTATAATTAAATGAAAACCTGACTCAAGGCAAGTGGTTTTTCCAAGAATAGAATTCCAATTTGTGTATGTAGGTTGACAGCTATACAGATAGTATGACACATAAAATGTATGGTTTGTATGTATGGATATATTTTTAATACGATTTGAATTAAGCTTTAGGTATCTTTGAACTAGATCATAGCCCGACATAGCCCACCGGATTAGCAAGTTGAAGTGGCAGTGGGCTGGCCATATTTGTCGAAGAACCGATAGCCGTTGGGGTGGACGAGTTCTTTAGTGGAAACCGCGTCTAGGCAAACGTAGTGTAGGACGTCCTCAGGCGCGATGGAGTGACGATTTGCGCAAGGTGGCTGGCAGGAGCTGGATGCGAGTAGCCCATCATCGATCTGAGTGGCGTGCATTTGGGGAGGCCTATGTCCAGCAGTGGACTAAGATAGGCTGTTGATGATGATCTTTGAACTAATGTTCGTATATGAACGTTAGTGTATAAGTATGTTCTTATACTTCATTCAATTATTTGTCTGCTACAAGAATAAGAAATAAGAATTTGGCACGTCTGTCAAAATCTCGCCTGAAGAATTTGCTGGAACTGCAAAGGGAGCTGGTTTAAATCCAGATTTGTACCCAAGAACGATTTGATTTCTTCTAGTAAAAATTGTTTAGATAACATTTAGATATATTTAGATAATATATGCCTTTTAATGTCTAATAAACTTCGTATATTATGTAGAAACCCGTAACCATTATGCAGCATAATCAGCATAATCTTGACTTGAATCGTATTGAATTGATATTGCATTAATATTGGGATCGTGGTTGTGGGCATATTACAAATGAGTTGAGTTTACGACGATCTGCAATGCGATGACCTCTTCGTTTTAAGTCATGGCAATAAAGTGAATAACATTATGCAATTGTAAAAAAACAGTTATCAATATGGGGCCTTATTACACAAGCGCAAATGTGTTCTTTTTTACCTTATTTCTATTTTTGTAACAATAAAAATTTGCCTTATTCGGTGGACGTAATGTGGCTTTTATAGTACTAAATTGAATTAAGTGGAAATCATTAATGTCATAGCGCTCGTTGTAAGGCTCTGTCCGCAACACAAAAACGCAATAAGATAAAGCGATTTATCGACATTTACTGTCAAATTACAATGGAGTTTGACAGTTGAGTATCGATAAAAAGGTTTATCTTATCATGTTTTGGTGCTTATGCTACGGGGGCTGGTATGGACTGAGCCAGAATTTCGGCTCATATAAAAAAAGTTATATTCCGTAGTTAGTTAGGCCCATGATTATTTTACCATTATTGTAATCATTATCCTAAATGATTAAGTCAAACAACTTTTCTAAGTATTTATTTTTGTGTTTGGTTACTAACAAAACCCAAAAATAAACACTTAGAAAAGTTATTATTTTCCACTTTTATAAGCCAGAATTACATCCATCACTTCATCCTCGGTCCACGAATCTCGTAGATATGCGAACGATAAAAAAGTACCCACTGACAAATTGAGAATCTCCTCCTTTCTGCAGTCAGTTAAACAATTTACCCCTACCGAAATTCAAACACAATGTCCAGCCTACCATCCAATGTCTCTTTGTTTCGATGTCAGCTTTTGATTTAAAGAGGTTTTGTTGCTTTTTCCAGTATGTCATCGGTAGTGCCACAACATGGAACGTATTGGCCGGAATAAGCGTCGTCGTTCCCGTACTTTCGTTACTAGGAATGTTGATGTTGCCAGAGACGCCCAACTACTTGCTCACCAACGACAAAGTGGACAAAGCTCAGGCTTCTCTAAAGAAAATGAGGGGTTCAACGTACAACGTCAACGAAGAGATCCAGAGAATGATCACGTTCAAAGAGAAGAATTGCGTTGAACCGTAAGTTCAAAAGATTTTAGTGGTACTTATATCATAATGGTGGCGAACTTATATGATAATGGTATTTCTGCCTGAAGTACAAGGGCCAAGCACGGATTGGTGGGTGCTATCGAGAGTATGGAAAGCGTTTAGCACCATCAACCTCTTTCCTTAGTTAATGCATAGGTGCCTATTTTCTTTTCGATTTTACATGCTTTGCAAATAAATGTTTCAGATTAAAAAGCCCACGGGAAATCATAAAGGCATTGCTGTCGCCGTCCGCCCTAAAGCCGTTCAGCATTCTGGCGGTATATTTCTTCCTGTACCAGTGGTGCGGCGTGAATACCATCACTTTCTACGCCGTTGAAGTATTTGAGGTGAGATATCAATTCAAGTAGTTTTTAGCAGTTTCATCTGTCTTAATCTAAGTAAGCAATTAACTTACAAAAGTTACTACATGTTTCTCGGATTACGCTCAGGCTGCACAGGAGAGTAGGTATATCTCAAGTACTCTTTCCACCTATCACGCCGAATATTCGACATGCTGCATTCAGTTAGTGGAAAGCAATTTACTGCTACGGAGAGCTTGAAGATCGCTGACCGTCCGCAATCGACAAAGGGCACTGGTGCAAGTGCATTTGACTACCCCCCCCGTCACTGTTTTTAAGTGTATATCGAAATTCCACTTCGCATCAAACACTAGTCCTAGGTGTTTGATCTCCTGCTTGATAGGAATTAACTGTGATGTGGGCCCCTGAGGTAGGTTTAGCCCGAGGGCCGTTAAATATCAATGCCTCGGTTTTTAGCCATCAAAACCTATACCCAACATCCTGTTGCGGACTATAACCGTGGCTAGACGCCTTGCGCGCCTGCTGCCCCGGGCTAATACTAGGATGTCATCGGCGTAACATTACTCCTCGCAGGACGCAATCCTATCCGAGATTCCACAGGAGCGGCCCTAACACCGACCCCTGTGGAACCCCGTATACTAACTAACCATCACTTGCCCGTTTGAATTCGCATATAATATTGCTCTCCCATCCAAGTAATTTGCCACTATTCTAAAAAGGTTTTTTATGACACATAAGGGGAGGGGTAAGGAGGGAAGGCGTTCCTGATGTCTAGGGATAGTGCCATCCCCTCCGGCCACTGTTCGCTGTGTGAGACTTTTTAATTCCATCAGCGCATCTACCGTTGGCAGACCTTTTCGGAAGCCGAATTGGTTTGCCGATAGGTTTGGGCCCGTCGAGTCTTAAGTGCACGACAGTCCGGTGGGCAAAATTCTTTTCCAAGATTTTGCCAACCTCATCCGGGAAAATCACGGGACAGTACGCACTGGAAGTCTATGGGTCTCCCTTCCTTTTGCAACAGACACAGTCTTCCTTTTTTCCCTCCCCGATGAATTGGTTTAGTAAGGTATAAAGGTGCTCCCCAAGGTGCTTCATCACCACCGGCAGTATGTGCCCTGGAACTCCAACTGCTCCAGGGGCTTTTCTTTTGACCTTATGTCGATCCATGGCCGTAAACAACTCATCTTCTTGAATTTGGAGGGAAGTCACAAGCCTCCTGCTCATCCGCATCTCTTCTCGGTGCCATTAATGGAGGGACTTCTGGGACTCTTGTTGGGAAAAGCGTTGATACCACGTGGTCCAATAGTACTGGGTCGAGAGTCTGGGTTGATGGAGCATGTTGCTTCGTTCTGCTGCGGACCATCCGATAAGGCCGTCCCCATGGATCACGATCTAGGTCCTGCAGAAAGTCATCCTTACTCATTTCGTCTTAAATATCGCTTCCCTTAGGTGCTTTCTTGGCATTGCTGTAAGTCACCTTTAATAGCCTACCCAAATTACCTATTTAACGAGCCTCTACGTTGGTTATTATTCTGGATGGCTACATAATGATATGAATGTACCTGATAATTACAGTAACAGCAAGTAATATCACCTAAGAATATCCCCGATGAATCTTGAGAACGGTCTCCTCCTTGTTTTTATCCTGATCTCTGAAAATGTCCATTTAAATTACATAGTTCTGCAGATCGTGAATGATAAATGTTACATGTAATTCATATGTTATTCGCAGGCTTCTGGGGCGGCATTGGACAAATATTGGCTCACCATAGCAATGGGTATCATCCGTGTCATATTCACCGTGGTGGGCTGCATATTGTGTCGGCGTTGCGGTCGGCGACCGCTCACCTTTGTGTCTGGTGAGTATCGTGATAGTTAAACCAGGAACTTGGGGTCTGTTTGGTTGAGTTCAGAGGCCTAAGCACGAATTTTAACAGCTCCATAATTGTATCGAATGCCAAGTTTCTATGAACACTAAGCAGTGGAAGTAAGAATACACTTGAACTTCCATATAAAATTATAAGTTGACAATACGATTATGGAACTCTCAAATTTCGTGCATGGGCCTCTGAGTAGATCACAAAACTCATATCAAGAGTCGCTCCCGCTGTCTATACCCTTCGATCTTTTAAACTAAGCAACGGACTTTGATGCAGGTTTCAGCTTTAAATAGAGTAATTCAAGAAGAAGGTTTATAATACATGCCTGAGAATAAAACGTATAGAATTCACCGAAACAAAGCGAGGGCGAGTTGTGAATATTAAAAATTAATAGAGTAGCATCCAGATTATGGATTGGGTCCTGTAGGGCAATTTTGTAAAATATAATTTCACTTCAGAGTTCGATGACTCCAATTTTAAACTAAGTTAAATATTCATTAAGTCATTATACATCAAAACTATTGAAGCAGCTACTTGTTCAGACTTAACACGTTCGTCAGTCTCTATGTTTTTTTTTTTCTATCGCGAATATATTTTCGATCATTTTCTATGTTTTGCTTTACCAAGATAGAATAGTAATAAATATTTGTGCTATTTCTTGTACTATACGCAGCAGGCATAATATTGTTTGGCGGAATTTGTTCGTGAGCCAAAAGAAAAAAATAAAACGCATGTCAATTTTTCTATTACTGGACTAGATAATTATAGGTGATATTGCTAGGCTGGTAACCTTTCACTATTGTTTTTGGACAACAAATGAGACCCAACCGGAGCTAATTGTGGCATCTTTAAAGCTTGGATAAGCGATTATAGAAATTCTAGTCACATCTTTGATGATCTGCCAACAACCAACACTATTACTGGTTATGACAATGTACATGTTGTGTAAGCGAATACAAAAGCGACACGATGAGTCGGTGTGATTTCAAAAAAAAAACCCTTTACCCTAATTTGATAAGCTTATAAGTAGGCTGATTTCTTTTCTCAAATATTATACGTAATTATTGTAGAAAGTATAAAATTAAAAGTATAGCACAAACTGTACCCTTAATATCACTTACTTTTGCAATTGCATAAACCTCAACTGCATTATTTTGTTAATCCTACTAATATTATAAACTAACGGCTACCCGCGACTTTCGCGGCCATGACTAGTATTACCAGGTGTCCCGATTTTCAGGGGTCTGGGGACGCGTCCCGATTTGTACCTGATCCGGACGCTAATTGTCCCGATTAATCAAAAAAATTAAATGAAAATAATTTAGGTATTTAATATAATACTAAACTTGCACTAGTACTTTAAAACGCAATAAATTAAACCCAGACTTAAAAACCCCTTGCTTTTGTTTACTGTCCCGATCTGCAACCCTAAATCCCGATTTTTTTGACCTCATGTACCGATTTAAAACGAATTGGACCTGGCAACACTAGCCATGACCCACTACGCGGGGCCATTGCGGAATGGTGGGTGCTAAGGACTGTAGATGCAGCCGGGACCAACGACTTAACGTGCCTTCTAAACCACGGAGGATCAAGAGATAATAAGTGTTTGGTCACCCATCCAATCCAAACCACTTGCGCTCGCTTGCTCCTCCTCCTCTTAAATGGTTCCTATATTTACACTTCCTATTTCCAGCGATCGGCTGCGGCACCACGATGATCACTCTCGCCGTATACATGTACTTCGTGCACTACTGGCGAGAGAACAACATCCCTCCGTGTCACTCATGGATCCCGGTGGCCAGCATCTTCATCTTCACCATCTCCTGCACGCTGGGCTACCTGATCGTGCCCTGGGTGATGATCGGGGAGGTTTATCCGACGCAGGTATGACTTTTATCTAAATGTTTTCAACCGACGAAAAAAACTGAGGGGGTTATTAGTAAGATGCGTATATTTTTTTTTGTATGATCACGCATAACTTTTTACGGAGTAATCCGATTTTGATAATAATGATAATTCCATTTTTATGGGAAAGGGTTGGTCTCATATAATTTTGGAAAAAAGACATTGCTGGCGCTGCCTTGCAGTCTAAGGCTAGAGAAAATTCGACACGGTCGTCAGGGCCGCGGTAGCATAGTCAGTGCATTCGCCCGGATAGCGAAGGATGCGGGTTCGAGTCCCGTCTGCTGCCTGGTCAGCGTGGATTTTTTTCTAGTAAACTTTTCCGTAGATTTAAACATCTAGCAGTTAAATGCTTAAAAAATAAAAACATAACTAAAAAAATCTTTTTTTTAGGGTAGCTCCCCTATATCTAAAGTGGGGGTGATTTTTTTTTATCGTCTACCCCATAGTGTTTCATTATTAGGTCCTTTAAAAGGACTTTGGGGTTTCACAGGCCTTTTTTTCGATTAAGGGATCCGTTTGTGAAATATTAAATCTTTAAGTGCAAATTTTTGTTCGAAAAGGTGCTCCCCTCTTCTCTAAAAGCTAAACTATTGGCTTGAAAAATCTAAAAAAATTATAACAGTGCTTTCATAAACTTTCAAAGAATATTATGACGGTTAAAATAGAGCACTTAGTTTAAGAGTAACAGCCGTTTATTTGCGGTATTACACAATTTCTTACTTCGTCTTCACGCGAGCGATATTCTCCCTTACCACCTTCATAATAAGCACCACTATTGCCTGCACGCAGGTGCGTTGCATAGTACGCAGTCTTAATATCATGCAAGCAATATTCTCCGTTACCACTCTCACAATAAGTATCATTATCGTATCACACAGGTGCGTGGTATAGTCGGTGGTTTGACTACGTGCGCGGCTCACCTGTCAGTGTTCTCCGTAGTGAAGACGTTCCCGCTGCTGAAGCACCTGCTCAATGACTACGGCACCTTCGCGCTCTACGGAACTATGTCTATAGCCGGTGAGAAAATGTGTGAAAATTAAAAAAAAAATCACAATCATTTCTTCAGCTTAGGTTGTTACAAGCACTCATAAATGTCTAGAAGCTACGCTACCGATTGGTAAATCTACGACGGGAGAACTTGTACAGAGAAAAACCGGCAAGAAACTCAGCAACTCGAGTTAACAATAAATTAATTTACAACGGCACTCTTTTCTTCCGCTTCTACTTTCGTCGATGGGATTGGGCAATTTGCTACATCTTGTATAAAAAAAAACTGAAATGAAATTCAAATATTCTATAAATCTAATCTGTAGTAAGAAAAGTCAGAATTCCAAGACGAAGGTGTGCATGCCGGCTGACTAGTGTGGAGAGTGTCACATATTATGTGTTAACTTTGTACAAATATTAAGCTGAATATAAGGAAGCATGGAATAAAATTAATGTCCTAACTAAACCATTAAACCAAAAAAGGTGCTCAGATTTTAAAATCCCTGTCCCCTTTTCTCGCATACTTCGAAATACTGAACTAGGAGGTTTATTTTTCTTATTTTTTATTCCAGGTACGGTCTTTTACTACTTCTTCTTACCAGAGACAAAAGGAAGGACCCTTCAAGAGATCGAAGATTACTTCTGTGGCAGAACGAAGACGCTCAAGAAAGCCTCCTTGACCAGCGCAGCGTGAAAACCTACTATTAAATAACTCAACAATCGAATATGTACTTTATGCACACGAGAATACGTTAGTTTTAACTTATTTATTTTCGAAATTGTCTCTTAATGCGGCGGTTAATTTAAAATTACCATACGAGATTGAATATTGTTAGTTTTCTTTCTTTCGTAAGTTTAGAAAGTACTCAATAGATAATTAAATTGTTTATGTAAGTTTCTTGTGAATATGATCATACAAATGCTATGTGCCTTTGCGTAAAATTATAAATTAGAATGAATAATAAAACACCTATTTTGCTTCTTATTTAGTGTATTATGGATACATACTTAAAATTAGATTAATTCGTGAGAAATATGTAAGATAGGATTTTTAACTGTTGGGAGCAACTGTTAAAACGCACTAGTAGACTGTCATATATTTTTGTAAAAGTATTATTAGGTAGATAAAAATGCCTTATTAAAAGAGAACAGTACATTAAGTTGAACCAGATCAAACCTCATCTTTCAACGTGAACACGCTTATACTTCATGGATCTTTCTTTATTGGAAAATCGAACAATATTGTTCGATAATCTATCTATCTATCGATAATCTAATAGAAACATCACTTGATGTTTCTATTAGAAATACTTACTTCTGTCTTATTTATCACGGTGATTACACAGTGTATATTTTTTGAAGTTATAACTTTTATGCGATATTGTATACCTATTCATTACAATTATATAACTATCGGATTTCATCATAAAGAATAAAAACACATTATAATCAAATATTATAATAAATTAATGGTTAGGTCTGGTTTACAAAACTATGTCCAAATAATTCTTATTATACTTAATAGAAAATATTTTCGTACAATTAATTATACAAAAGTCCTAAATAAGTGCCATTTTATAAATATAAATTTTATCAGCGAGCAACTATTTTTGAATATTTATCAATTTAAAAGTCACTAGTTTTTATTAACATATATTTCTTTCTATGTTGCTCATTTGTTACTTACAAGTTGTGTTGTTCGATCTTGAGAACAAAATATATATTTATCACAATTTGAAAAACAAAGAATGGAATGTAAAAAAAAACTTGCATATTATTTAGATTTATAGTCGATTGTAAATCGGTTAGTATTAAAAAAAATATTATTGTTACTATAAAATATTAAATTATCATTTGTTATTTATTTCAAATCGACCTGTAGAAAATCTTTAAAAAAACATTAAGTCAGTTTTTTATTTTACTTTAAACAGCTAATGCAATTTTGGTTTTATACATATTTTAGTAGGTGTGTACCTACAAAGCAATTAAAGCATTTTTTTATGTTTATAAATATTTATTTTTATTTGAGCCGTAAGTGTGAATATAACTTAATTTTAGGGAAGCATTTTTGTGATAGTGTTGTAGATATTATCGAATAAGTATAGTTAGTGTATGTAAATACAATTTGTTGAATATATTAAAATGAAATATTTTGAAATATATCGTGTAGTTTAATTTCGATACAAACGTCTCATAATTTTGTAATTTAGACGTGATAGATCACATTACTTTAAAAAACTTAATTTGGAAGATATATTTTGACAAATAAAGTTTAACAATTATGGATTCAGTACAACTCAACAATTATTTAGTTAAACACTTAGAAAAAATGTATTATGGAAACTATTGGAAACAAATTAAAAATAAATTGTTATTTTTACCATTAAAAACCCTTGAATGAGTGGATTTTTTTCTAGTAAAATATTCTTTAGATTTAAAAATTTGTTATCTCTGTAAATGTATGAATTTTATATAATTCGAATAAATCTTAGCTGTCGTTTTCAAGCAGATGACGACAAAAATCTTTCGTATTTTGAACTCTTTTAAATACGAAAAACGAAATTGGTATCCGTCCTATAAGTATCGATATTTTACATACAGTGTTTACGCAGACTTCGACTTATCGCCAATGGATGTTTAAAAAGTTCTTCACTTTGCTCCTACCGTTCAGTGTATTTCATGATGAATATTCGAGTTTCAGTTAGTATTCTAGCAATGTTAATGTGGATTACTATTGTGATTTGTAGAGGTAAGCTTTCTTATCTTCTTATATATAAAATTATCGTGTCACAATGTTAGTGCCCATACTCCTCCGAAACGGCTTGACCGATTTTTATGAAACTTTATATGCATATTCACTAGGTCTGACAATCGGCTACTATCCATTTTTCCTACCCCTAAGTCAACTTGCAACCCTAACATTTTTTTAGATTTTGATTTATTTTTTTATAATGTGGCATTAAAAATACATACAGCTCTAAATTTTCACCCTTTTACCACTCATATTTTAATGCTGTTACGAAGTTCGCTGGGTCAGCTAGTCTAGTATATTAATTATCCATCCTTTCTTCGCTTAGGTCTCTTTAGAATTTTTCGGGCGTAAAATATTACCTACCTATACTTATAAACCTTTCAGCAAAAGGATGATGGGCAAAAATCTATGGAACTTGGTATCCGTTCCAATAGAGATGTGTTACATATCATTTGGAAGGTCTACTTGAATACAATAATGGCGCTTGCCCTGATACGTTGTCGAAACAGAGTTATATAATAAATAATAAAAAAAAGTTTTTCCTTTTTAAATTGTTAGACATTTTAGTATTTACATTATTTTAGCAGTGTTGTTAGTATTAACAATAGGCATTAGGTTAGAGCGTTGATATCTGCAATAGTTTAAAAAAAAAGTATTGCAGATACGAATGGCCTTCCGACTTAGTAACAATACAACCTCCTGAGAACTATTTAATGTTTATCTTTAACGAGAACGTTAATAAAAGAAAATGGTAAAAAAACATAATAAAAAAAACAATAAATAAGCTTGTTATCTTGAACGGTAAACATAGGTGTATATAGAGGGGGGGGGGGGGGAGTGGGCCGTGCCCACTCCAGGACGGTCTTGTGCCCACCCCAGGATGTTGGACTACCGATTCGAAATTCTATAATACTAATCACTAACTTCAGATGACTCTTCAATGTCAGCCCCCCCCCCCCCTGAAAAATAACCCTAGATACGCCATTGACGGTAACACTTAATAAAAAACTTTTTTAACAAAAATAAAAATAACAAAAATAGATTTTAAATATTAATCTTTGTTGGTACATTATGTTTTTATTTATTTATTTTTTTATGTATGCAGTTATCCAGAGGCAGAGTGAAAGAAACACATTTTGGAGTAATTACTTTATTCATTATTTTTAATAAGGATGTCATTTAGGTGTTCCTAAATGTGCAGTGCAGGAGCGACGAATCCGGCGTGCCCGGCATAGCCTAGGTACCATATAATTGATAATATGTGAGCACAAGTTCCTATGATACGTCTACCGGTTAGACATGTACAATAATGTTGAATTATAATATTATAATTATTATTCGGTAAGTATAATAATGTAGTAATAATGGTAATAACGGTTCGGGCAAAAAAGGTTCTGGTATTTTCTGGAAAAAATAAAAACGGACAACAAATATCAGAATGCCGCCATAGGAACTAATATTCTACATGAAAAGAGGTATTCAATGATATATCACTCATCGCTATTGATACCAAAACCAATTGGATACCAAAATGCCCGTCCTCCTTTGTGGTTAAAATCACATGTTAATGAGATTATGAGAAAATGTATCTACGGCTAAACTATTGTGCCCTTTCACCAGCTGGTTATTGGAGAGAGGTAGAGTATAGCTGATTTTACGCTGTAATTGGAGCACCCACTTTGATGAAGTAACCACCATCGTATAGAAGACAACTGAAAAAACCGATCCGATTGTCAGGGCGTAAGGGAGATTGGAACGCGCCGATCGCCCTAATATTTTATTATTTATTTATTATTGGAGCACCCGGTATATACTTTATTTCGACAAAAATAAGGTGGCAACCCTAATTACACTACCCAATATTAAGGACCCTATCGAAAGGGTGGGCGTGTCCCCACCTAAGTAAGCTAAGGTAGCAATTATTACAGAGCCCTATCAATCGGATCCTAACTCAGTCTGAGAGTATAAGTCGTCTCGGTTGAACGTCGTCGTTATAGCACCCGATGTATTCTGATATTTTTTTTATAAACTTCTCTAAATCCTTCGGCAATTTTCCCTTTACTTCAATGGAAATAAGTAAATTTAAGTTATACATCTTTCTCTTCATTAAATGCCATCGCGCCAATAAACTAATTCGACTACAAAAAAGTCCGTACTATACACTCTCAGGGCGTCGACTGAGCTCTCTTATTGCCTAACAGCTATTTCATTACCCGATTGTCAGGGCGTAAGGGAGTAATTAATCGGCTCCCTTACTTTCTAACTATTATTACACCATAAGAATAGCATAAAATTGGGTAGTCTAATAGGCCTTTTAGTTAGGTTCCAAGTCTCCACTGGGTAGGGGATTGGGTTGGTTCAAGTAAACAGCATAAAGTTAAAGAAAATATTTAGTAGAAAAAAAAAACAGTCGGACCAGGTTTCAGACAGGACAGTCTGGGTGGCATAATTGGTTAGTGCGTTTGCCCGGACTGCGGAAGATGCTGGTTGGAATCCTGTCTGAAACATTTTTATTTTTTTTCTTTTGATTTAAAAGTCTAGTAGTTAAATGCTTAAATATAATAGCATAAAGTTTCCTACTTTATAATATTATAAATGTGAAAGTGAGTTTATTTGTTGCGCATTCACAACTAAATCACTGAGTTAATTATAATGAATTTTGTCAAACACATAATGAGGCTCTGAAGAAAGTTATAGGTTACCTTTTCTCACGAAGGTGTTGAAAAAGACGATGAATGTTTTATATGGGAAACTAACTTTTTCACGCAGGTGAAGTCGCAGGCACCTAGTATTAAAGAAAAATCACTTTACATAAATATTATTAAAAAAATCGAAATGTATACAAAAAAATAATTTCGCTTAATATTATTCAGAAATATTTTAACGAAAAACTACTTAAAATGCTTTAATTTTAATTCTAAAAGGTTTAAATGTTAAACTGATCACCAAAAATAGTAAACGACCATCAAAAATAAAACTAAATTATCTCCAAAAAAAAACAACTGCTAGCCTAACCATCCGATTGTACTGTTGGTGATCATTTACTAGTTTTTTTTGAATCAACTAAATATTTTCTATTCTACAATACATCTTTGCAGCCCCATCCACTCAGAAATATGTGAACGTCCTGGAATTCAATCAGCTATCCCGTGGTGAACTGCTTAAAATCCTCGCTAACGTGGAGGAAAACGTCGAGCAACATGTGGCCAGCACAAATAAGAAGCTTGTTTTCACTGCCTCTTTTGCCAACAACAAGTTCACAAAACCTCACATTTATCCTGCTTTCTTTCAGAACTAGAAAATAAGGAAATAAAGTGACAAGGTTCAATTTCAAAATTAGCAGTTCTTATTTTTTATCACATGAACTAAGATTTAATTTTAATCTGGAAAATTGTAAATAACTTCCAACCGCTCTGTCTTATGTGTACACATTTAAATATCTTAACAGGCTTGTTATTGCTAGTTAATAAAGAACTATTCTCAGGTATTCCCCGTAAGGTTATAAAAAGGAAAATTTATGGGTTCCAAGTTATCTTCGCCTAAGTGAGCTCGCGGACCTTTAGTCAAATTCCAAGACAAAATGTTGTATGAAAATATATTATTATTAATTAAAGTGTGAATAGGTTATAAACGCACAAAGCCCTAATTCATGTCGTAAAAGAACTGCTAAATAAACAGATCTAGGAATTTGCTGTGACCTAATTAAGGCAATCCAAGGAATTTCACCTTGGATTCGTGTTGTATTCTTGGATTCTTTGGGCTAACGAAATCGCAGGTCCACGGGCTAAAGACTTACTTGAAAGAGATTAGATAAACTGAGATTATAGTTGCTGTCTCCTAATCTGTCATATTATTTTTCCTTTTCCAAACCTTTTCCATGCGAAATCCTTGGTCAATAGTTTGAGGGTTTCCATACTTCTTGTCAAAGATTAAACTTGTTCTTATTCAGTAACATATAACGCAAATATTTAAATGTATCCGTAGATCCGTTTTCAAAGTAGAAGTGGAAATAACCGAATAATCACCTAAAGTGTTTTCAGTATTACTGTACATAAATGTAAGCAGTTTCATGCGTGTAAATGTGATCTTATCATAAAGATGCGTATCGATCATGTTAGATGAGAGTTACCCTGATCCAAAGTTCTTTTCGAAGACCTCGTTCATACAAATGGGGTACGGTTTATGGGTCAGTTCTGTGAACATTTTGATCGGACTGGCACTCGGTTTCCCCTCGAGTGCGATACCACAGCTTAAAGATGATGCTAAATTCAGTATAGGACCAAGTGATGAAGCGTGGATTGGTAAGTACCAAAGAGTATTATGATGTTTTCTTTTGGAAAAACTGTAAAACTTTCGCTCGGCTCGCGTGTTATGGTGACTCCACTAATGTAACCTAACCTAGTGTGAAATATCACCTCTTAAGCCATGGAAGTACAGTTTAGCCTTTCATTTTGATTACTTCGTAGCGCTTCCTAAAATGCTTGATAAAGCATGAGCATTAAACATGGTGTTCATCACATTCATTTATTATACTTGTGTGTAACAAAATCACTGTCAATACTTATTTACACCTCAAAAACATATCAGTCATTTCTTAAATTTTATATTTTTGATTTGTTGTTGTTTAAAATCAACTTACGTCATCCAAAAACATTCTATCGTCTGTGATATGTGACATGAAACTCTTCACTAGAATAGATTTATACTTGGAATCTTCAATAAATGGATTCCCTGTAACTAGACTGATGTTTAAGAGTATTTTTCCAGCTTTTTATTGATTCCAGGCATTATCAATACCAGATGTTGCGTTGTTTTGAAAATTTTTGATACTTATTACTTAAGTATGACGTGTATCGGCAGTATCACTATGTCATACGAGTATCATATCTTAAATGATGCAATGTATTAACTTTCTACGTTTTTCTCTTTTTCAGCCAGCGTATTGACTCTGGTGGCCCCTGTTGGTTGTATCATTGGAGGATATATTATGGATATTTTTGGACGAAGATATGCCCTTGTTCTTGGTGGTATTCCATTTTTAGTTGGATGGATAAGCATAGGTCTATCTAAATCAGCAACGCATATAATCATAGGTTTGTAACTTGAGACACCATTGCTCGTCTAATGTCTAATAATAATTTAGACTTATTAAGGATCTCTTGGGCCTACTCTGACATCATTGCGAAACTAAATATTCGAGATAAAATCGGTTGGAATGTGATTTTAAAATCGTTAAATCATCGTAGTAAACATAGAAAGAGGTTAGAAGGACCTTGTGGGCGGGGCAGGCGCGCCGCAGTTAAGTGTGAGCAAATGCTCATAACTTGACCAAAACTTGGATCTGATTGGGTCGTTGCTCTCGCGTGTGAGTGCTGATTGGTTCGATTGTTTGATATCACGTCATTTGATTGGCCATTATCTACTAGGTGGAAGTGTAGTGGGGACGAGCCAGCGACTCCGGTTCACGTAGAAATGATCTCTAATTCCCTTCCAACCTCTTTCTGTATTCTGTCGTCGTGAAAGTACTAAAACACTGCCGTTGCGATGGTGCTTTCGCGATGATGTTTGCGTAAATGTGAATACAGTTTTCCTCTGTAGGTAGAATTTTCACCGGCGTGGGATGTGGCATGGGGATGGGAACACCTCGTGTGTACGTCACAGAGATATCTCTGCCGAATATGCGGGGTGTCATCGCCGTCTTCACAATACTATCTTTGTCCTTCGGGCTTACGCTTCAGGTAAGATTGCAGCATGTACCTATCACTACAACCAGCAGCATCTACCTATTAAATTTGATTTTGGGAAAGTTAAGGGTCAGCCGTGACATTGCATTAGCTGTGGCTTCCTCATTTCGTTGCTTTCCTAGTCGAGCGCTCCAATTCGATCGGAAAATCCGCTGTGCCCTACTTCACATAACTTAATTTTTTTGCCTGCGAAAGGCATGACGTCTTACTCGCCACCAGGGGTCGCCACGAGGATATGTGAGGACTTCTCGCCGGTCATTTCGGCCAGCCCAGAGTTCTGTGAAGTGAGCACAGCCTTACCTAAGAAAACCATAAACAATAACCTCACCATATATTTTGAGGGCCCAGGTCCCCAGAATGCGTGAGAAAAATTTGCCTGTCGTAAGGTCATTAGGTATTTCCTTTCCATTTTTTGTTTATGAACATCATCGTCGTGTTTAATTATAACACATACAACAACATTTATTATGGTTGATGTCGAGTATTTGTGTTAAACAAATTTTGGTTCGTATTTTTTTGTATTTGAATCTTCTAACATTTTATGCATTACTAGCGGCCCGCCCTCGCTTTGGTGTAGAGCTGAAGTCTAGACTACAGTTTTAGTTCTCAGGCTTGTATTATACACAATGACATTCGTCTATGATTCTTCTTATACCTGCATGCAAAGTTTCAGCCCGATCGGTTAAAAATTGACAAAATTTCATAGGTACAAACTTTCATTCCCTATTTTATCCCCTTGGGGGGTAGAAATGATCAAAATATTTTCTAAGCGGAGCCTACGTCATAACATCTACCTGCATGCCAAATTTCAGCCCGATCTGTCCAGTGGTTTGGGCTGTGCGTTGATAGATCACTATATCAGTCAGTCACCTTTGAGTTTCATATATTATATAGATTATTCTGTTACCTTTGCATGCATGTGTTCAATGACAAATAGGTGTGTATGCTGTATTTAAGGCTAAAAAAACCAGTTTCTCTATTGAAGAGATTAAATTACAGGACCATTTTCAGGCGCTTTTAGGATCTTCTTTCAAATGGAACGAGCTTTGTCTTAGTTACGGGGTGTTCTCTGCTGTAATCAGTATTTCAAGTTTACTGCTACCAGAGACACCTTACTATGTTCTCATAAAAAGCACACAAAATGAAGCTGAGAAGGTGTTAAAGCGTTTCAGAGGAGCGGAATACAACACACGCAATGAAATAACAGAGATGATGGATTTCAAGGCTACTAACAACATTAGTGGGTGATTTACTAAACATTTTTTTCTGTTTTAGGTAGATAAGAGTACACTTTAGCTAAGGTTTATAACACCGAAAAACAACGTAAAGTTTTAAAGTTATACTTCTTTAGGCGCGTTATGAAAAAATGAGAGAGTGAAATTTTAAGATGCGCGCGAATCACTGTAACGCAAAAGTAAGACCATGAAGTTGGCCGCGGGCGCGGTATGAAAAAATGATGAGAGTGAAATTTTAAGATGCGCGTGAATCACTGTAACACAAAAGTAACACCATGAAGTTGGCCGCGGGCGTGGTATGAAAAAATGATGAGAGTAAAATTTTAAGATGCGCGCGCATCACTGTAACACAAAAGTAAGACCATGAAGTTGGCCGCGAGCGCGGTATGAAAAAATGATGAGACTGAAATTTTAAGATGCGCGCGCATCACTGTAACACAAAAGTAACACCATGAAGTTGGCCGCGGGCGTGTTATGAAAAAATTATGAGAGTGAAATTTTAAGATGCCCGCGCATCACTGTAACACAAAAGTAGCAACATGAAGTTGGCCGCTAAACCGCACATTAAGTCTCGAAAAAAAGCTACCAACAAAATAGAATCTCTATTAGTCGCGCATGTCGGCACGCTTGTCGCTTCTGATCACTGTTTTCATATTTATAATATTTATCCACATGTTTCTAAGTTCTATATTCACAATACGTGTTTTAAATTATATTCAGTAGTGATTTCAATTTAATATTTTGCTTATTTATTTAATTTTTCCAATTAATACTGAACTTTATTGACAGTGTTGACTAACTATTTGCATGCAATTAAAAACTAATTTTTAATGATGCCAAAGAAGTATTACTTCTCTTGCTCGTACATAAGTACACGCACTTAATTTTTTTTTATGTTTTAAGAGTGCCAAATCAAGCATTTAGGCCGCCTGATGGCAAGAAGCCACCATAGCATATTTATAGAGTATAGACGCTTGAGACACTAAAGATAGCACTCGCGCCTATTAATATTCCCACTTCTGGGGCACGAGCCTTCCCTATGGGTGGAATAGGGAGATGGAAACAAATAAACTTTCTTTTCACAATCACAATCGTTTACAAAAGACAAGAATATCATAGACTGAAATAACGATAACACAGTCGTTACTCCTGCCAATGATAGAAAAGTCGGTGCTTGGATGGTATCCAGTAGATTTTTTCTACATCTTTCATATTTTATAAAAAAACCGGAAGTTATTTTTTGCAGGCTTACATTTGGCACCCAAATAAAACTTTTTGTGACAAGAGCAGTATGTTTACCGTTCTGGATAGTAATTGGATATTCTGTGGTGACTCAACTGTCCGGTACCAGCATTATTTTTGTCTGGACTGTTGATTTTTTACAGGTAAATGTTACTCATATATTTTTGCTACTACTGATCGTTCTATGTTTTCTTATGTGTTATTTTAAATACGTACTTAATTACTGGAATTCAAAACATGAAGTAATTAACTCTAAAAAAAGGTTTTTGTAACAGAAAGTCAACAAAGCAAAATTAAAAAATATTGAATGAAAAACAGAGGAAAAAAAATAACTTCTCGTCAAACCCCTAAAGATGTAGATCTTCGAATTCTCATCGATTTAATCTTCGATCGATTATCTTTGTTAAAGAAGGACATTCATTTTTAAATATTATATTTTTTGTACAAAATATGGAAAATGCGATTTACTTAGTTCGTTGCTGGACTTGTTTATTATTTTAATGATCGATAATGGAATAATACAAAGTTTTTCAGGCGTCAAAAGTGTCATTTGATTCTGGTTCCGCACACTTTTTTATGGAACTTGTCAGATTGGGGATGGGTGTTGTAAGCGCGATATTAATGTACAAAATTGGTAGAAGACCTCAAGCGCTCATTTCAAGTAAGCTTAATACGTTGTATATAAATTAACTAATTTACGTTTCACGGTAGACAAAGACACCGAAACCTATATCACGGTGTTGTACGTTTTTCTCACAGAAATAAATCAAGGTTTTTGTTACTTCCATTAGTTTTTAAGGCTACTGACACCAGTTAAATACATTTGAAAGATAAAATAAAATATCGTTGCATAAATGTAGACACGAGGCCTCTCTCATCTCAATTAACAACATAAGCTGGGTACTTATTTCTCTTTTAGTTTACAATAAATCTGGTTCTAAATTTAAATTTTTCGTAACTGGCGCTAATAGTCGCTAGAGGGCAAGAGACTGAAATGTATGGAAAAAATAAGATTAACATACTTTCCAAATATATCAAAAAGTACCACAAACGCGAGGCAGACGCGAAAGGCTAAAAAAAATACCAAAAGAGTAACATTTATTTTATGGACACCCACTTTATTGATTTTTTTAATACCATCTGGTTTTTATTTTTCCCTTAGTGTCTATCCGCTACTGCCTGTTAGTTATTGTTTTATATTTTACTATTCATATTTATTTCTGTGGTAATAACATGAAGCCCACTGACAGATGGCCAATGGATGTTTAGAAATAGGATATCGTTGTCATCTATTACTTAGCGTAGCTACCTACAGCTACGAAACCCCGGAGAATTTAATAATCTTTTACCTTTTCTTCTTCAGGTTTGGGCGTGACAGTAATGTGCTTTGTGCTAGGGTTTCTCTTGCTCTACAATCATAGCGTCACGATATACCCGTTCATATGTTACCTGCTATACGTAACATTTTCTACATTAGGTTATTATACGCTGCCGTTTGTGATGATGTACGAGCTGTATCCATTACAGGTAAGTGTCTGAACGAATTCTTCAAACGCTATTCATTGATTGGTTCTTTTACTTCGCATACGAATCATTTAATAAAACCTTTTTAAAAGTTGTAACTTGGATTTAATGGAATTTAAACCTACTCACGCCTGAAAAGGAATCCAAAATTCTAAAACTATTACTGAAATGTTACAATTTACTTAAATACCACTAGCTAGCAGTCGTCAACTAACGCTGAATATTTGACATGTGTTTATATTCCAGGTCCGTGGTGTACTAGGTGGATTGACGAATTCCATTATTAACTTCATGGTATTTGGAGTTAATGCAGCATTCCCGTTCTTCCGAGATTTGGTTGGACATGCTTATATTCTTATTTCATTCGCTATGGCTTCGATTTTAGGTAAGAAAACAAATTTAGGTGACGAGTTAGTGGGACGCTTTCTTTAACACACAATCGCTCACAAAAGACAAGCATGTAAGACTGCGTCACCCGAGAATGGAGGCTGCCATTGGTCGGAGTAACGATGAAAATTAAATTCAGCCAGAAACATCACATAAAAACTCAGCTTTTGTCGGGCTTCCGCGTTGCCGATGTTCCGCATAAATATTATTAGCCTTACAGAAGGTTACAGGTAATATCAGGATTTCTATAGGGAATGTGGTCAAGGTAGTTAACGTACATCGATCTATAGCTGATTCTAACTAAAACTATACGATCATATTCCAGCTATTCGATATAACGCTGATTCTACATCACGAATATGAGTATTGACTTGTATTGGTGATGTAGAATCAGCTATAGATCAGTAGCCTTTCTATTAAGAGCACATTTACTTGAGATATAATTTACGATTACTTTGCAGAAGCCTAATAATACTAATTTCTTGTACAAAATTAGTATTATTAGTTCAACGCTCAAAGATGAGGGTCATAAATACTTATTGTTTCAACTTTTTTATAAATGGTTTTGTTAACTTTCTTTATTTTTTTACGAGTATGTACAATGACGATTTTTTGTATTCTCAGGGACTGTCTTTCTGTTCTTCTGTCTGCCAGAAACGAAAGATTTGACACTTCAAGAAATCGAGGAATACTTTAATGACCTCCGCCCTACTTTAGTCTCGCAGAGGAGTGTGATAGCGGCACAAAGGAGTCAACTATTGACACAGACGCTGGAAAGCAATGCTCTGAGATCAAGGTCCACGTTAGATCTCACATTGTCGAAGGCTGCCGGTAGAAAACCATTGAATTAAAACTCTGACAAGAATAAATAGGTGGTCTTCACTAGTGGAGGAAACCCCACAAGATCAGTATAAGCTGAACTTCTAGTTTGACGACAAAATTAGACCAATCCTAACTGTAGAAAAGAGAATAACATTTAAATAAACGGGTCAACATCGCTGTAACATTTTCATGTTTTTTTCAATTGTATCTATATAGTAAAATAAATACTCAGAGTAGGTAATGAAATATTGAATAAATGCATTGATATTACTTTTATCTTTGTTTCACTTAAGTAGTAGAAAAAGAAGTCTCCTCGTGGAAGAGAAAAAAGCATCGGACTGTTGTCAGTCAGGTTGACGACTTTTTATTTTTAAGTGCGTTCTATGTCTTATTAATTTAATAGCGTTCTTATCTGTAATAGCGTTTTACGCACAAGCAATAGCTTCGAGAATGGTCTCCATGACGCGAATGCCTTTTCTGTATCTGTCCACGCAGATACTCTGGTCGTGAGCGTCAAGTAGCATGACAGTGTTTTTGATGCGAATGAGGTTGACAGCTTTTTATTCTTTTCATATAAATGTGCCTCTAACGCTTTAGCGACAGTTTAGAGAATGTTCTCCATGACGTGAATGCCTTCTCTGTACCTGGCAACGTGGATTCTCTCTTGTTGTAAGCATGGAGCAGCATGGGAGTGTTGTTGAAAGGCGTCCGGTTGACGAATTTTTATTTACTTTCAAGTGTTTTTATGTCTTATTAATATAATAGCGACCTTATTCATAATAGCGTTTTACGCATTGGCAACGGCTTCGAGAATGTTCTCCATGACGTGAATGCCTTCCCTGTATCTGTCCACGTGGATTCTCTCGTCGTGAGCGTGAAGAAGCATCGGGGTATTGTTGATGGGCGTCAGGTTGATGGCCGGGATGCCCTGCTTGCGGACGAAGCGGGCGTCCGTGGTACCGGGACAGATCGAGCAACTCAGTTTGACGTCCCTGGTAAAAAGGTTTTATGGTTTTACAGACAGCATCAGTTAGCTATTTTATTTAAAATTATTTAATAATAATTTAATGTAAAATGGTTGAAACAAAGCATCGTCGTGATCAAATCAAAGCTATGCGCACTTTTTGAAGATTTTTGAAACTTTTATCATTAGGAATAGTATGCTAACCGGATATATAAAGACTGTGCAAAAATATGTCTCTAAGATATAGTGGGCACATAGTCTTTGTATTCGAGAATTCGGCAAAATTATCCACAGGAAAGAAATCGATCTTTATCAGTTACCAGGTCATAGAACTTTATAGTAAATATGTAAAAGCAAGACGTATGGACAAAGATATTTTAGCGTTTATAAGTATGTACGAGTGAGTAGGTAGTCTGCGAAAGCATAAATGTAACGGTTTAAGCTTACATTTTATCCAAGCTTTGCTTTATAGCGGTGAAGAATACCGCGCTGTCGTCGACTTTAGTGGGTGCTATTCTTGGGTTCTTAGTGTAGTATTTGAACGATACGCCTTCACCTGCTTCGTCACACCATGATTGAATCTGTGAAAAGAGGGAGATAAAGAGAAAATATTGGCACTCTTAGGCACATTTAAGATAATGAATTCGTGCACAATTTGTAAAGTGGCCCGGTCATGGTCTTGCCATGCATTATGTATATGCATTAATCTTTTTTAAATACCTGTTTAATTTTAATTAAATACTGGTGTCGATGCTGGCATAATTCTTTAAACTTAAACCTAAATTTATCATCATCGGTCTCTCCTTTTCATTCTGTGTAGAGAGTGACAGAGATACACTTGTCAAATTTAAGTTTAGGTTTAGAGAATCCTGTCAGAATAGGCACCAGTACCTCGTTATTAACTGAATTAAATAAAAATTAAATCCTATTAAGTTTTAGATTAGTACATTGCGGTGCATATGTGCTAACGATTGCAGAAACTGCAGAAGTAGATGAGACCAAAGGCTTAGCATGATTTCCAAAGCACCTCCGTGCTTAGGGAGTTATCGAGCTCGAGATAACTTATTGTTAGTCACCCATCTTAAGGCCCGCCGTTGTGAAAGTTGGTTAACTTCGAGTTCCTTCGCGCATTCAAATTCCTTTTATTAATGTAGTTAGAATTCATTATTCCGTTACAAATTTGTTTATCAATTATTATGCCTTACCATTTTATCGAATTCATCGTGGTCCACATCGGGTGCAATCCTTACGTCAAATGAAGCTGATAACTCCTCTGGTAACACGTTTACTTGGACGCCTCCCTGCAATTATTTTACACTGATACTTGTATTAAATATTACTTATATGTAAGTAAACTATGATAAAATATAAAAAGACTCTAAAACCCGACTCTAAAGCGTCACCTATCGGGTAGAGTTGTTGATCCAGTTAAGTTTTATAAATAAAAAAACCGTTTTCAACGGAATTCAAATGCGTTTTTTTAATATTTTTGTACACCATGTCTCTTCGTTTCGCATCCTTTACAGGCTGCGTTCTCAAAAGAATGATGATTATATACTTTTGACGAGCTACCTTCATAAAAAACAACGAAAACTTACAAAGTTGATTTTACTATTTATTTTCATATCGTGTATGTGAGGCGGGTGTTTGCGTTCCCTAAAATATGGTTGAGCGAAGCGATGGTTGGTTTATGCATCATGCTTATGAACTGGTGCTGCCAGCGGGTATGAGTCTGCTCTATGCTGCGTAACTATTGAGATGTTATCCATTGAATATATACCCAATATTGAATGATTAATACCTAATAAAACACTGTTTGTATTTATACTGTACTAGCGGCCCGCCCTCGCTTCGCTTCGACGTCGAGCTGAAATGTAGACTATAGTTTTTGTGCTCAGGCTTGTATTATACACAATGACTTTGCATGCAGGTATAAGATTCTTCTTATACCTGCATGCAAAGTCTCAGCCCGATCGGTTTAAAATTCACAAAGTTTTATACAAACTTTCATTCCCTATTTTATCCCCTTGGGGGTAGAATTGATCAAAATCCTTTCTAAGCGGATGCCTACGTCATAACATTTACCTGCATGCCAAATTTCAGCCCGATCCGTCCAGTGGTTTGGACTGTGCGTTGATAGATCACTATGTCAGTCAGTCGCTTTTGAGTTTTATATATATAGATAGATCACTATGTCAGTCAGTCAACTTTGAGTTTTATATAATATATATAAATTACACTACAGTCAAAATGTGAGTGGATGTTGTATTGATAGCAAAATGTTTTTTTTTGTAAATGTTGCTACTTCGGTTAAATGATGATGAGTTTCTTGCGCCCATTCTTCTCATCAGCTAAAATATATCCTTGATGGCGGGAAAAAATATTGGACGATTCAAAAGAGTTTTCACTAATTAAATTTGAATAAAGTAGAATGTTCACCTCAATCACGGTCAAGTTTATAGTGGTGACGCTACCCATTTTCTCTAGTGATGTGACTTTCTTCTTTTCTGTTTCACGCAGTTTCATTAACTTGTCTATCATGTAGTAAAGCTGAAAAATAGAAAATGCAATCAGTCTGTTTATAAAACACATACTTATATATTTGTAATAGTTAGTACAAGTACAAATTTAGTTAGTACAAATGAAAGAAAAATAACGGTACTCATGTTAAAACATCTACCTTCTGAATATTTAATTTAAGAATGCACAGATATTGATATCAACATATTTTTTTAATTATTTCCTATTTAGACTGTGAATGTTTCTAACTTAGTACATTAAGATGATATTTGGCATACAGGAAGGTCATTTCCTGGATTAATACACGATACTCAGGGGCGGACTTAAGGCTTGCGTGACCCGGGCGACAAATCTTTGCGGGGCCCTTTTTACGCGACTTCGGCGAAAGAATAGTTGTGTTTTTCAAGAGTATTAATATTTCTTAGGCGCGTTTTGTGGCCTAAACGATTTGATTGCTTTAGGCTTGACAGGGGGTCATTCGCCTAACGGAAATGCACTGGAAAACGCTAACCCTTACGATTTCATTTTGTTATTTCTAGCCGCCTGAGGTTTTCAAATGCCTCGCGCTCTTTTTTTTCTTTTGCATTGGTAATAACAATATTAAAAAAATGAGCGTGAGGTATTTGAAAACCTTCGGCGGTCAGAAATAACAAAATAAAATCGAAAGCGTTAGCGTTTTCCAAAGCATTTCCGTTAGGCGAATGGCCCCCAGGTGTAATTAGATCTTCTTTACATTTAAAACCTGTTGATGATATGACAAAGACCCCAGAGCCAAATTAATCCGATATCGTACCGAATATATCCCGTAAGTTAGCCTACACGCGATTAACATTGATCTCAAACAACTGAAGAATAACTAGGCCCTAGAGATAGTTTGAGTCCTGGGTAAGGACGTAGTAGTTTTTATCCCAGAAATCATCCTTTGAAGAGGTGAACAGAGGGGTACAAATTTGTATGGGAAACTAATTAAAACACGTAGACGAAGTAGCGGGCAGCCGCTAGTAATAAATAAACCTTCATTTAATATCCAACATTGTAATATCCAGTATCCACCCAAGAGATTAAGTGTTTATAGTGTTCTTATGGTTAATGCAGAGAAAATTGTTATTAGTGTATTGTATTGTTAGATAGCGCTTGCAACAGTGCCGAACTATCGGAAACTTGCTAAAAACAAGGTACATGGTAACAATCCTCTAAATAAGTTATATTACTAGAATTGTAAAATTTAGATTGGGTCTAGAAACCTGAAAATGTCTTTTGCCATAACGTGTGGGGAGAGGGAGTTAATGGCTGTAGCGGAGATATTTTTAGACGTTCAGCCAAACATAGTACGCGGATTCTTGTTTTGGATTTTTACTTTATTGCTGATCTTTTATTTTGTTTCTGAGTTTTTATGTTAATTGTTGTGTTTCTCTTGTTATTGTTTCGTGCGAGATCAAACCGGTTCCAACGGAAGACCAGCGCTGATGGCAACATCAGCACTATGCTGAGTTGAGATCTATTTGAGACAAACCCTAATTGTTTTATTTTATTTTTTATATTTATATTGTATTTGTCTCAAATAAAATTATTTTTCTTTCTTGCTTTCTTTTCTAATGCTCTTTTAAACACTTACTTTTTCGCCCGCTGTTTTCTCTGGTAATAATAAACTAGCATGGCTAGGTGTTCCGCGGCAGGTAACTTGGATTTCTGTGAAATAAGATCTAATGTTAGATTTACAGTGAATAGCTGGCTCAAATCTCACTGACATACCTACTCTAGCACCATGTGAACACTTTTTACGTTCCAGCCAAACGGTAATGATGACTTACTCTATGTGCCAGTCCAGCTGTATCTACTGCATGGATATCTGATTAATATGAGGCATTAGGTTAAACTTCTGCTTGTAAACGTTATTGACAGACAATGGCAGAAGAACCTACGGTAGAGGGAAAAATTACCATATGCACACGACATGTCGCCCGATCTAATTCATTAATTTTGGTTTCCGTTAAAAAGTCAACATAAAGCGAAAAAGCGAAGATTATTTCTGTATGAGATCAAGAGGACAAGGGGCTATAGTAAATGTATGTGTAGTACTACCTCGGTGCCGTTTCTAATTCGCCCGCGGTGTATCAGATCATGAAATTTCTAGATATATTATGAAAATCCTCCATTTCATGATTAGCCTTCCGCGGATACACTTCGCTCGCTCAATATAATGGTCATGGCCAAAACACCCAATTCCCTTTAACATTTTAAGAACATTTGGAGCTCAGAATATCTTCAAAAATAAAATTATACCTTGTTTCATGATTACATCTGAGAAGTCAATAAGCTGAAAAATTATAACTTAGTTAAAACAAACACAAAATTTAAAATACTTTAAATTGTTAGTGTCGCCGCACACGGGCCACACGCCACAGCTATAAACGCCGCCACGAGAAGCTAGAAGCGGCTACTAAAGTGGCTGAAGCGCGCGACAGCGGCCAACTAAGGTAAGTGTCCGGCCGGCGGCCACCGGCGTACCGTGTGTGGCGAGTCCATATAAAATGTATAAAAACTACAAGAAATAGCCGGTGGCGGCGTTTGTGGCTGTGGCGTGTAGCCCGTGTGCGGCGACACTAAGGGAGAGAGGGGTGGGAAATCACGCGAGTGACGTGTGGCGGTGTTTTGTATTAGCGCATTAAGTGGCCGGTGCGGACCACAAGAAGCGAGCAACGACGATTTTTAGCGTGTGGCGGCCACCGGCGTACCGTGTGTGGCGAGTCCATATAAAATGTATGAAAACTACAAGAAATATGCCGGTAGCGGCGTTTTGTGGTTGTGGTTGGTGGCCCGTGTGCGGTGACACTTAGGTCTTTTATAAATGTAGTCCTGGGGTAAAAGTAACATTCTTAGATATTCATCATAAAATTACCAACGTCCTGTGTGTTGCGATGCGATGTGCTCTACAGAATTAATAAGAGTCACACACTAATTGCTGAACCATGATTAAATCTGGACTAGATATTTAAGTTTTCGCAAGTATATGAATGACTTGTTGCAAGTGTTTTTTGATTTTGTTTCTAAGTTTATAAAGATCTCAAATATAATTTCCCCAGACTGGAACTATCCTATCAGAAATACTACACAAAAAGGTAATTTTATTTAACTGACTGTTTTTTGTAAGGTGGATGGAGGTTAGTAACTCTCATTCAAGCAGAAAATCTCTTAAGTAACGAAGTTTTAAGTGACAATGTATTTCTTTTAAATACATTTTGTTTTATTAATGTTACTAGTAATATTTTACTCAAAAACTAACTTACGTCTGCAAGTGCGTTCCCCGTGGTATGCCACCAACACATCGTCCATACTGGGGTAGCTCTCATCCAGGGCGAAGCCGATGTTGAGTTTCTTGAACTCTTCAGACTGAGAAAACAGGTTCATGCCCTCGTCGCTGCCGATCTCTTCATCTGTGCCAAAGAAAAGTTATAACTGATTGAAGTATGCTTAGGTACCGATGCTTGGTTGAGGAATACAAGGGAAAACTTACTGATTGCATGAAAGCAAACAGCAATAAAATATACCTATTAGATAACGTTAACATAGGGATATGTTACATTGATTAATATTATCGTGATCCTAGGATCGCTGTATCACAAGTTGTATGTGCAATACTGTGATACGGCATATTATAATGTAATATGAATTTGATCCTCACCTCGTTCGACCGAATTGCAGAGAATACTCGCACGAGGCATAACGGTTTTATGCCCTAATTTTTTTCACTGAATTTTTGTTTTAAAAAACTGAACTCTTTTCTTCCTGATTGAAGCAGGTTTACTAAACAACATAATTATTTTGGTCACCCTAAGTCAGTAAAGAATAAAGACAGACGATACGGTAAGATCTGTACGGTTAAATGATTTAACCTCTACGTTGCCGCTAAGATTGCCAAATGCTGGCTTATCAATTCCGGGTATCCACTCCCCACCCCACACCCCACTCCAGAAATAAAACAAATAAAAATATAGGTCAGAACCTTATGCCTTTATATGGCTCCTCCCGATAAATTGAAACCCTTTATATAAAAGAAGCCATAGCTTCTGTCTGTCTGAGGAGCTCGATGGCGCAAGTGGTTAGCGCGTTCGGCTGCGATCGTTGAAATTAAGCAACTTTCGCAGTGGTCGGTCATTGGATGGGTGACCAAAAATTTACTATCTCGAGCTCCTCCGTGCTTCGGAAGGCACGTTAAGCCGTTGGTCCTGGCTGCATCTGCAGTCGTTAGCACCCACCAATCCGCACTGGGCCCGCGTGGTGGGTCCTGGCCCAATCTCCCTACTCCATCCATAGGGAAGGCCTGAGCCCCAGCAGTGGGGACATTAATAGGCTGATAATGATGATGATGATGATAGCTTCTGTCGCCCCTCGCAGCCCAATCCCAAATACATCTCTGATGTATGTAACGTGGAAAAAACTGGTATTCGGGGAATAAGGGGCAATAAGGTCTTATTTCTGGACACGGGATAAGACGCAAAATTCCGGGACAATCCCAGATTTCCCGGTCATCTGGAAAGCCTACTTGCCGCCCTGCAGCCAACTTCCCTATCTTGTGGCGCCTTGGTGACCTTATTCATCTTAGGGTTTTATGGGTTCCATAATCAAAGTAGTGACAATGGAAACTTATATTATTAAGCCTCCGCTGTCTTTCTGTCCGTCAATCTTTCCGTAGACTGTACGTACTTAGGTATTTCATGAACAATTTTGCATGAGAAAACTAAACGCCTGACACTAAATTCATGGCAGTAGAGCATAGCGGCCTGTACGTGCGCCTTCAGCTCTGAAGCAACGCATATTCATCTTACCTTTTTTTTATTATGTTTCATTGTCAACGGCTATCGTTTAATTATACTACTCGGAGTACCATTCCAAGGCGATCTTGAGGGCATTCCCATTGAAACAGTAAATAGTAGAAAATTGAAATTCACAGAATATTAATTTTTTGAAACAGAATTTCATACTCGTCGTGTCTCTAATTCATTTTCAGTACAGACGTTTATCCCATATCTTCAACTTACCAGGTACAAAACTGGCATGAACAGTTCTTTTTAACACGACGCCAGTATTCTTAAGACGCCTGATGGCTTCCAGGTGAATCATACCGACACTCTTCATGTCCTGAGAACCTCTCGCGTAAATCCATCCATCATCCGTCAACACAGCTTCAAAGGGAGGGTAGGTCCAGTGTTCCTGAGAATCAACACTGTCTTCAACACTTTATTATTATGGAAGGCAGCTTTATCGCTGTTATTATTTTAAACACTTAGCTTATAAGTTGGCTTCATAGTCACAACTGCTTCTATTGAGCAGGTAATTCCTTATATTTAAGAACTTGTTAGGAATATGTTCCAAATGTAAGTATAATAATAATAATATGAACTGTTGCAATTAAATTTGAAGACAAAAGATGAACTATCTTTCAATGAAATGACAAGAGATAAGTCAAGCTATTTAAAAGTTCACCAGAACATACAGGGCTTATCTGACAAAGATCTAGAAATCAGATTATTTTTTAATTCTGGCTTCTGACTGATGTTGAACAGCAAGGCTTATGTACTTTACTTATTTTCATAGTGTTATGTCTTATGGCCTCTTCTGTGGTTCAGCTGTGAATAATGTTTTTATTACAGAAATGGCCAGTAAGAGCCATATAGAACTTATGTTCAAGGGATTCCCTTAGAGATATGTTTAAAGAAATCAACATCTTAACACTGACTGGACAATACATATTATATGTAAACGTGATTTATGCATATAAATATTACAGCAATTTTATTAAAAGAGATGATATGCATAACTGTAATACTCGAATCAAACATAAACTTGCTGTTCCAATGTTTAGATTAAGCAAAACATAAAGTTCATTCTTGCAGAAATGCATAACTAGATACATAATACATAGCTAGCATGAGATAGATACATGCATAGCTTTTTTATAAGTCAACTTGAATAAAGTTTATTTTCATTTATTCATAGTGTTCCTACTGTTGGGGCACAGACACTATGTTTAGTAAAAGAATGAGGACACCACGTGCGTGAAGTGTGGATTAGTGGGTTCTAACTAGTGTTGCCAGGTGTCCCGATTTGCGCGGGACGTCCCGATTTACAGGGGTCTGGGGACGCGTCCTAATTTGTACCTGATCGGGAAGCTAAATGTCCCGATTAATCAAAAAATGAAATTTAGGTAATCAATATAATACTACTAGCAAACCAGTGAACCAAATGTTCACCAAAACCTGATTTAAAAAAAAAATGTATTTAATTAATTGAGAACTTCGGAGATTTTATGTGGTTTCGTTTGAAATTCGTGATTTCTCGAAAACCGGAAGTGCTACGTGACTCAAATCCGGTTTGTAGTCTTATCAGACTATTCTTAACTTATAATTTAAATATTCTCTTTATCTATCTCTTACGGTTTGGCCGCTGAAACAGCACCACAGACGGACGGACGGACTTGTCTAATAGATAAGAGATACTTGCACTAAAAGTTTAAAATGCAATAAATTAAACCCAGACTTAAAACCCCTTGTTTTTTGTTTACTGTCCCGATCAGCAACCTTAAATCCCGATTTTTTGACCTCATGTACCGATTTAAAACAAATCGGACCTGGCAACACTAGTTCTAACGTCTACAAAAGCAGCCTTAATATGGGAGGCGCGCAACGTTTATGCCATACAAACGTTATCGACTGATTTACTCTAGATTATTATCACTAAAGAAATGATTTTTATACATTTTATATAATTTTACTCATACTATCCCTTATGTCTTACCTTTTTCGATAACCCGTATTTAAAAGCAATTAGAGGCCCTTAAAAAATCCAAAAATAAACAAATTTTTGTCCCCTCCAAAGACGTTATTATAGTGTGGAGATTCAATAAGCATTTACAAAAAAAGCAAAACGTAGAGGCCTAGTATTACTACTTATTATTAATTATTCTATGGGTCAAATTACTTTTACGTATATCTAATTTTTGAAGAGACAATCGTTGAGAGCCTAACCACAAATTTAGAAATTATTATTCGCAATGTTCAGCGTTAGTTGCAGTTGTATCGAACGGTATTCGCCTATACGCGAAACCAATAGTGTTTTCCTATTTCTCAAATGTTTCTCAGCTCGCGACTTTCGAAGCATTTTAAAGCTCGAGATAGTATTTTTTTTAATGCGCCATCTTTAAAAGTATTCGTTCTTTAATTGCTATGATTACTTAAAGGATACATTGATTATACTAACGGTAAGGCTACTCTACCAAATTAAGGTTGCTCAGCGAGCTATGGAAAGAACTTTGCTGAATTTTTCAGAAGGAACGGATCCGGAACGACGTGATTGTGAGACGAAAGTCACTGGCATAGCTAACCGAGTAATCAAGCTGAAATGGCAGTGGGCTGGTTATATATCGCGTAGAACAGATGGCAGATTAGGAAAGACATGTTCTGGAGAGGAGACCGAGAATCGACAAACTCAGTGTGAGGCATTCTGCGAGTAGATGGAGTGACGATATCCGAAAAAACGGGAAATTACTGGATGAGAGTTGAAGACTGAGCTCAATGGTATGTCATGGGAGAGGACTGAGGAGAGCAGAAGACTGATGCGGGCTGATGACATTGATTTTAATAATCAAATTGACATACCTCATAAACAGGAACAACGTCCATGTGTGAATTCAGCAGTATAGCCGGCAGGTCAGGCTGCGAGCCTTCCCATGTGATGACAACGATCGGTTTCTGTGGCGCAAACTCGAAGACCACGACGGGTAAGTCCAACGAATTTGCTTGTTCCTTGAGGAAATCCACACATCCGCCTGAAAAAAATTTTTTTTACTCTTTACTGTTAGTAGGTATGCATTTCAAAAGCATTTATCGGAGGTAGGTATAAAGTGTACTGCAGGGCATGGACATGATTTTTTTTGTGGAAATGTCCTGTTTTCTATTTAATGAGGTTAGGTTTCTTGGGTAAATGGTATATTCCGAATAATGTGAAAATATTTTGTAACAAAAATAAAATATTATATAAAAGCAATAAACCTGTTATAGTCTGTGCGGAAAGAGTATGGAATTTAGATTGGAGGGCGCTGTAGTGCTTTTCTACCGTATTTGTAAGATTACCCCTTTTAGACATGATTAAATACAAAAAACCGCAAGAAATCACAACATCAACCCAATCCGTATCAATACAAAACTTTGACGTTTTACAGATTGCTGAGTTTGATTGCCAAATAAAAATCTTAATGTTAGTTCCGTTTTTCGCCACGCCCATTCTCTTTCCGCACAGACTTGGAAAAGTGGAAAATAAAAATTTCTTTACGGAAGTAACTACCGACTTTATAAAACATTTAAAATGCATACAGATACTTCAATGTAAGTACCTAACGATTAAACATCGTGTTAATAGTTATTCATTGGGTTTTAAAATTATAATAATGTTTCATCGTCTAAGTTCCTAGTAATTTATTTGGAATACTTATCTTTGTTTTTGTATATTGTATCTTTTATTGCTTTAATCTGCTGGATTACAAGTTTGTTTTACGTATCTACGCTAATAAAACAACTATTGATTTAAGTAGATAAGAGTATGATATTGTCCATTATATTTATCATATGTGCGTGTGCCAGGTAGATATGGTTGGTGCTTTGTTACTCACTTAATGTTTTATTTTTTCTGAAAACGCTCGCTTTTATATAATATTAAAATTAATTTTATATACATAATATTGTATCGAACACCATTCTTTCGAAGTCGCAGGAAGCGCGTTATGTAGCGTGCGTGTAAGCGCGTATGCTGAAACGACCTTATACGCACAGAAAATTACGCTAATCTTAAACCACCTTTATGTCCTCTTTACAGAATAATTTCAATAGTGTCTTTTTGCTGGTTCAACTTTCGTTAGTCAACCAATAGCCAGCCTCTATGAGTATGATAACTGCAGGCAGAACTAATTTACACTGAATCTAGAAAAAAAAACAGCAACACCTGCAACGTTACATTATAATATTACTCATATTTTCTGACCTGGAAAACTTTGTAGCATATTTTTTTAGGTATTTTGTGAATATTTTTGAATTTCACTTAAAGACTTGTCAAATTGTTATCAAACCCTCAGCCAATGTTTTGTCAATAAATAGGTATATTGAAGATTTTTCAGTCTTATTCACTCACTTACCTATGGGTCTCTCATTAAGGGTACTATGTATATAGGTTATAAACATAATGAGATTAAAAAAAAGATTTAAAGTTTTTTTTACGCCTGACATCAGCATAATGGTCAGTTTATTAACCCGGATAGCAAAGATTGCGGGTTCGAGGCCCGTCTACTGCCTGGTTCCCGAGGATTTTTTTCTAGTGAAAATTTCTTTAGATTTAAACATTAAGTAGTTAGATGCATAAAATTAAAAAGAAAGTTAACATTTGTTTTATTTATATCATTTTTAATATTAAGTAAACAAAACTTGTCCTGACAAAAACAAACACACAAAAAAGAATTATCCCATTTGATAGAGTTGTTCGGAAATTATGCGCGCAAATAAATTTCGGCGATTCATTTTTATCTATAGACTTTACCCTTGACTGTACTGGGATAAATATCAATCAACTTGTCTAGTCATTTTGCGACCTAATCATTATGCGATGTGGTCAAAAAAAGATCCAGTAATTTTGCTATATAGTCATTATGTGATGTGGTCAAATAAAGATGTAGTCATTTTGCGATCTAATTATGATGCGATCTAGTCAATTAATGATCTAGCCATTTTACGATATAATACATTAATGGAGGCTAGTCACACTTCGACCTAGACACCCTGAGATCGACTCAAATAATTTAATGTAGTTTTACAGTAAGCGCTGTCAAGCGCGCTGTGTCTAAGATGATATTTTAATATCCATAAATTTTAAGATAATAATTATAGAGATAAAATTGTCCGATAACGTTAGGGTATCAACTTCTTGGATTTTTTTTTACTTGTAACTAGTACTTACTGTAGTCGACATCAGGATGGACACTCGGTATCTTCAAATACTCCCTGAGCCTGTCTATCACTTCATCGTTGTTTTTAGCCATATTGTACTCTCTCACTGACACTAGTAAAAACTTAAACGTGCAGAGTCACAGTGATATTATTTCCAGTCACTCACATAAATTTATAGGATAGCGTTATCATATACATAGCAAGCAAACTATCACCGGCAGGTTCTTATGAGAGAGCTGATAAGGTATATTATTAAACAATACCGCGCTGGTTGGTATCGTACTATCCTCTTAGTTAGACAATTTTATTGTGTTTATTGATTGTAGTTGCTTAATTATGTAGTGTAACGCCCGACTAGTCGGTAATTGTAAAATGTTGCTTTTGCAAAACATCTGACATCTATTAAGTGTTTTGACAAAGGAAAGATACTGATCAATTTAAATATTAAAAAATACCGCCGATTTAAATATTAAATCTGCACCGTGTCGCACGTCGGGAGGAAACGCCACAATGTCATCATTGCGGTGCCCCGGACGACACGGCCGAGCACACCTTATTGGAGTGCCCGGCCTGGCGACACCAGCGCCGCGAGCGCATTGCGGCGCTGGGATGCGGAGCCCTCTCGCTGCGGAGTATGATCTCCACCATGCTCCGCAGCGAGAAAGCCTCCTTCTGCGAGGACGTTATCTCGCAGAAGGAGGCGGCTGAGAGGGAACGGGAGGATGATCCTCTGGCCGCTCCCTCCCGCCAAAGGAGGACGGGTAAGAGAGGACGGCGGCGCGCCCTGGCTGCGCCCGTCCCATGACCCTACCCGGGGATCCCTCGCTGACCGGCAAGGCGCCAACTGTGCCGGCCACCGACGGACCCCGTGACGGCAGCCTCCTCTTGTAGTTCTGTCCTACGAGAGGGAAGACCGCGGACGGGGAGCGGTGTGATGGGCATGAGGCCGGGCACGTCTACACTTAGCTCCCAGCGCGGGCCTACCTTAGCTGGCTGCTGAACTAGTTGCCTAGCTAGTTGCCTAGGTAGTTGCCTAGCTAGCTGCTTAGCTAGTTGCCTAGATAGTTGCCTAGCTAGTTTTCTAGATAGTTGTCTAGCTAGCTGCTAAGATAGTGGCCTACCTAGCTGCTTAGCTAGTTGCCTAGCCAGCTGCTTAGCTGGTTGCCTAGCTAGCTCTAGCTAGCTAGGCAACTAGCTAAGCAGCTAGCTAGGCAACTACCTAGGCAACTAGCTCAACAGCCAGCTAAGCAGCTACCTAGGCAACTAGCTAGGTAGCTAGCTAAGCAGCTAGCTAGGCAACTAGCTAAGCAGCTAGCTAGGCAACCAGCTAAGCACCTGGCTAGGCAACTAGCTAGGCAACTAGCTAAGCAGCTAGCTAGGCAACTAGCTAAGCAGCTAGCTAGGCAGCAAGCTAGGCAACTAGCAAAGCAGCTAGCTAGAAAACTAGCTAGGCAACTATCTAGGCAACTAGCTAAGCAGCTAGCTAGGCAACTACCAATGCAACTAGCTAAGCAGCTAGCTAGGCAACTAGCTAAGCAGCTAGCTAGGCAACTAGATAGGCAACTAGCTAGGCAACTAGCTAAGTAGCAAGCTAGGCAACTAGCTAAGCAGCTAGCTAGGCAACTAGATAGGCAACTAGCTCAGCAGACAGCTAAGCAGCTAGCTAGGCAACTAGCTAAGCAGCAGGCTAGGCAACCAGCTAAGCAGCTAGCTAAGCAGCTAGCTAGGCAACTAGCTAGGCAACTATCTAGAAAACCTAGCTAGCTGCTTTGCTAGTTGCCTAGCTTGCTGCCTAGCTAGCTGCTTAGCTAGTTGCCTAGCTAGCTGCTTAGCTAGTTGCCTACCTAGTTGCCTAGCCAAGTGCTTAGTTGGTTGCCTAGCTAGCTGCTTAGCTAGTTGCCTAGCTAGCTGCTTAGCTAGTTGCCTAGCTAGCTGCTTAGCTAGTTGCCTAGCTAGCTGCTTAGCTAGTTGCCTAGCTCGTTGCCTAGCTGGTTGCCTAGCTTCTTAGCTAGTTGCCTAGCTAGCTGCTTAGCTAGCTGCCTAGCCAGCTGCTTAGCTGGTTGCCTAGCCTGCTGCTTAGCTAGTTGCCTAGCTAGCTGCTTAGCTGTCTGCTGAGCTAGTTGCCTATCTAGTTGCCTAGCTAGCTGCTTAGCTAGTTGCCTAGCTAGTTGCCTAGCTAGCTGCTTAGCTAGTTGCCTAGCTAGCTGCTAAGCCTGGCTAGTTTGCTAGGTAGTTGCCTAGCTAGTTGCCTATCTAGTTGCCTAGCTAGCTGCTTAGCTAGTTGCCTAGCTAGCTGCTTAGCTAGTTGCCTTGGTAGTTGCCTAGCTGGTTGCCTAGCCTGCTGCTTAGCTAGTTGCCTAGCTAGCTGCTTAGCTGTCTGCTGAGCTAGTTGCCTATCTAGTTGCCTAGCTAGCTGCTTAGCTAGTTGCCTAGCTTGCTACTTAGCTAGTTGCCTATCTAGTTGCCTAGCTAGCTGCTTAGCTAGTTGCCTAGCTAGCTGCTTAGCTAGTTGCATTGGTAGTTGCCTAGCTAGCTGCTTAGCTAGTTGCCTAGATAGTTGCCTAGCTAGTTTTCTAGCTAGCTGCTTTGCTAGTTGCCTAGCTTGCTGCCTAGCTAGCTGCTTAGCTAGTTGCCTAGCTAGCTGCTTAGCTAGTTGCCTAGCTAGTTGCCTAGCCAGGTGCTTAGCTGATTGCCTAGCTAGCTGCTTAGCTAGTTGCCTAGCTAGCTACTTAGCTAGTTGCCTAGCTAGCTGCTTAGCTAGTTGCCTAGCTAGCTGCTTAGCTAGTTGCCTAGCTAGCTGCTTAGCTAGTTGCCTAGCTCGTTGCCTAGCTGGTTGCCTAGCTTCTTAGCTAGTTGCCTAGCTAGCTGCTTAGCTAGCTGCCTAGCCAGCTGCTTAGCTGGTTGCCTAGCCTGCTGCTTAGCTAGTTGCCTAGCTAGCTGCTTAGCTGTCTGCTGAGCTAGTTGCCTATCTAGTTGCCTATCTAGTTGCCTAGCTAGCTGCTTAGCTAGTTGCCTAGCTTGCTACTTAGCTAGTTGCCTATCTAGTTGCCTAGCTAGCTGCTTAGCTAGTTGCCTAGCTAGCTGCTTAGCTAGTTGCATTGGTAGTTGCCTAGCTAGCTGCTTAGCTAGTTGCCTAGATAGTTGCCTAGCTAGTTTTCTAGCTAGCTGCTTTGCTAGTTGCCTAGCTTGCTGCCTATCTAGTTGCCTAGCTAGCTGCTTAGCTAGTTGCCTAGCTTGCTACTTAGCTAGTTGCCTATCTAGTTGCCTAGCTAGCTGCTTAGCTAGTTGCCTAGCTAGCTGCTTAGCTAGTTGCATTGGTAGTTGCCTAGCTAGCTGCTTAGCTAGTTGCCTAGATAGTTGCCTAGCTAGTTTTCTAGCTAGCTGCTTTGCTAGTTGCCTAGCTTGCTGCCTAGCTAGCTGCTTAGCTAGTTGCCTAGCTAGCTGCTTAGCTAGTTGCCTAGCTAGTTGCCTAGCCAGGTGCTTAGCTGATTGCCTAGCTAGCTGCTTAGCTAGTTGCCTAGCTAGCTGCTTAGCTAGTTGCCTAGCTAGCTGCTTAGCTAGTTGCCTAGCTAGCTGCTTAGCTAGTTGCCTAGCTAGCTGCTTAGCTAGTTGCCTAGCTCGTTGCCTAGCTGGTTGCCTAGCTAGTTTCTTAGCTAGTTGCCTAGCTAGCTGCTTAGCTAGCTGCCTAGCTTGCTACTTAGCTAGTTGCCTAGCTAGCTGCTAAGCCTGGCTAGTTTGCTAGGTAGTTGCCTAGCTAGTTGCCTAGCTAGCTGCTTAGCTAGTTGCCTAGCTAGCTGCTTAGCTAGTTGCCTTGGTAGTTGCCTAGCTAGCTGCTTAGCTAGTTGCCTAGATAGTTGCCTAGCTAGTTTTCTAGATAGTTGCCTAGCTCGTTGCCTAGCTGGTTGCCTAGCTAGCTTCTTAGCTATTTGCCTAGCAAGTTGCCTAGCTAGCTGCTTAGCTAGCTGCCTAGCCAGCTGCTTATCTGGTTGCCTAGCCTGCTGCTTAGCTAGTTGCCTAGATAGTTGCCTAGCTAGTTTTCTAGCTAGCTGCTTTGCTAGTTGCCTAGCTTGCTGCCTAGCTAGCTGCTTAGCTAGTTGCCTAGCTAGCTGCTTAGCTAGTTGCCTAGCTAGTTGCCTAGCCAGGTGCTTAGCTGATTGCCTAGCTAGCTGCTTAGCTAGTTGCCTAGCTAGCTGCTTAGCTAGTTGCCTAGCTAGCTGCTTAGCTAGTTGCCTAGCTAGCTGCTTAGCTAGTTGCCTAGCTCGTTGCCTAGCTGGTTGCCTAGCTTCTTAGCTAGTTGCCTAGCTAGCTGCTTAGCTAGCTGCCTAGCCAGCTGCTTAGCTAGCTGCCTAGCCAGCTGCTTAGCTGGTTGCCTAGCCTGCTGCTTAGCTAGTTGCCTAGCTAGCTGCTTAGCTGTCTGCTGAGCTAGTTGCCTATCTAGTTGCCTATCTAGTTGCCTAGCTAGCTGCTTAGCTAGTTGCCTAGCTTGCTACTTAGCTAGTTGCCTATCTAGTTGCCTAGCTAGCTGCTTAGCTAGTTGCCTAGCTAGCTGCTTAGCTAGTTGCATTGGTAGTTGCCTAGCTAGCTGCTTAGCTAGTTGCCTAGATAGTTGCCTAGCTAGTTTTCTAGCTAGCTGCTTTGCTAGTTGCCTAGCTTGCTGCCTATCTAGTTGCCTAGCTAGCTGCTTAGCTAGTTGCCTAGCTTGCTACTTAGCTAGTTGCCTATCTAGTTGCCTAGCTAGCTGCTTAGCTAGTTGCCTAGCTAGCTGCTTAGCTAGTTGCCTAGCTAGCTGCTTAGCTAGTTGCCTTGGTAGTTGCCTAGCTAGCTGCTTAGCTAGTTGCCTAGATAGTTGCCTAGCTAGTTTTCTAGATAGTTGCCTAGCTCGTTGCCTAGCTGGTTGCCTAGCTAGCTTCTTAGCTATTTGCCTAGCAAGTTGCCTAGCTAGCTGCTTAGCTAGCTGCCTAGCCAGCTGCTTATCTGGTTGCCTAGCCTGCTGCTTAGCTAGTTGCCTAGCTAGCTGCTTAGCTGTCTGCTGAGCTAGTTGCCTATCTAGTTGCCTAGCCAGCTGCTTAGCTAGTTGCTTAGCTAGTAGCCTAGCTAGCTGCTTAGCTAGTTGCCTATCTAGTTGCCTAGCTAGCTGCTTAGCTAGTT